TGCTCATTTTTCAGTGGCGATTCTAGCAGTATAACTTTTACAATGATTCAATCATAAATGAGATTACAAGAGCTAAAAAGCTAAATATCGAAAAACTAAAAAGCAGAGCATTTCTTCGTAGTTTTCTTCGCAGATGATCTTCACTCGTTCGGCTCTGATACCAGTTGTTGGTCCCAAATGTGTATGATAATCGATCAGCTATAGAATGTACTTCATCGATACATAGAAAACAGAGATTCTGAGAATGATAAGAAGATTATCAAAATAGAGAATTTAGCTTCTATTGAAATCGATCGAGAAACTTATACAGAGTGTGAAAGGATTATATCGCTCATTATTCGGACCTGTACACCATACGCGCATATTTATAGGCGCAGATGCAGGTTCCGTAAATAGGCCTAAACCTATGAATATGGGCCTAACATATTTGGTCTCAATTCCTTTTCTAGCCTACTTTATTATATGAGCTAAATACATTAAAGCCTATAATAAACAAGATTTAGACAAACTTGAATCACAATTAAATAATCTTCAACAAGCTAGTTGGTCGCTAACAGTCCAAATCGACCAGTGTGGTGGCCACCACCTTGTTGGGTCAAAGGTCATCAGGGGTCTAATTAATGATGGTGCAGGGGATGCAACACTGCTTGTAATTGAGTCGCCCGATATTGTGCGTCATCCATGCCAAATCGCTGCTTTCCCTGGCCTACCGATTCCATATTCAGCCATAAATTCAGTGATTTCCCCTTCAGCTGCTAAGATATGATATATATAGACATATTATGAGATATGATTTCAGAAATGCGTACCAGAGTTGGAATAAAGATGTTGAGAACTAATTGAAAAAAGCCAGTCTTCATAAAATCCCGATATTTGTACATATGCAAAATCATATGTTGTATGAATGTATGTCATTTTAACTCATATTTTATTGTTTATAACATCAATAATTTGTTATATGTACCATATAAAAGTACTATGGTGAGTACTAATAGTAATGGAAGTATAAGTAAAAGAATAAAATGCCTTAAAGCATAACTAAATACCATTTTACAGTCTAGAAGCTCACTAATTAATCATTCAAACTAATTAACTATATTTAAGCAAATATGTGCTCGTTTTAAGATTATTTAACTATAAATAACTAAGTACTAAAATAAGCATAAGTGAAGGAATAGTGTCTTGAAGCTAGGTTAAGTGAACATGTCTTTTATGGACTTCCGTTTGTAGTTCCTTGATAGTTATGGTGAACTTTTTACTAATGCAAAGTAAAGAAGGAAGAAAATGTATTTTGGTGGGTATTTGCCTGAGACAGAAATCAAGTATAACAAATAAACTACTTCATAATTAGTTACCATTGTGTAAATTAAAATGATTTGATTTCAGTTAGAATCAGTAGAGCTCAAAGACTCCCATATTTCCAAGAAGCAAAGGCCCAACATTTTGCTTGGAAGGAGAACACAAATTTGTTACTAAATGGAAGTCATGTCAACCTAAATAGGCAAACATAAACATGAATTTACCACAAAAGGTAAGATCTCAGTACACTTTGGAATTGAGAATTATCATAAACACTTATAATGCTCGTTCATAGTTTATGCCCCAATGACCTGAGAAGGTGATGAAAAATAATGTGATACTCATGAAAATTGGAAAGAATAGTATGAAAATGGGATTGGTGTTAAAAATTATTATTGTTTGCTTACACACTCACATCACTCCATCATATTAATTGCATAAGTTATTTGTATAAAACCGTTTATCTGAAAAGCATAATGTAATAAGAAAATATTATAAGAACAATGTAATGCACATAAAAAGCCATTAGTAGAGAAAATGTAAGCAAGTACGTTTGGAACTTATTATATATTAGCATAGTGAGACTTCAGCTATCAGCATGGATGGCTCTTTTACTGGAGAGTTTGGTTGCTCTAACTACAGTTTGGCTACTTATCTGCCAATGAACATAACACGGATAATTTAATTTTCCACCATAACTCAACTATTATATGATTATACCTAAATGTTAAACAATATATTAAGAAGGTCTTTCTACTTCAACAAAATCTAGTGATAGCAGAAAAATAAACTCTAGGGCCCATTTTAATTTTTCGCCCTTAGGCTTTAGACCATACAGAGCCGCCCATGTATCCACGATGAGCTCTTCTAGGCCACAGGTTTGTTAGCTAAAGCCTAAAGGTAAATGGTTGACTAGGTCAACTAAATTATATACCTCTTTGTCTAACCAAGTTACGCCCATTACACCGGCTCGTCTACCATCCACACAACTCGCCGGCACTAGGAAGAAGTCACCTTGCAGCCAAAGGGGCGAGAACGTAGGGCAACAATGTTGATGGAGGCCGCAAGGACGACACCATATATGTTGACGAAGAAAAAACCGCCAAAACAGATCTACCATGTCTGGCTCTAGCTGCTCTGAATATGCTTCTCATGAACTCCAAACCACTTTAATGGTGAATGTTCAACACTAGATACATCAGGCCACATCAATGGAGAGGTGGACTCGCGAGTGGCAACAGGTGAGGTGGAGGAACGACCGGCGACAAGCAAGGTGGTGCTAAGAACGACAATAACGATGGCACCTGTGAAAGCGGCGCACGTTGGACTAGTGTGGCAGAGATTAAAGTGCATACCTTCCATATGGTCACCCTTCGAACAAATTCAGCGAAGGGGTGAGATCTGAGGTCTAGAGCGGCGATGGCAGGTTTCTGGAACTGAGCGGCAAACTTCAACTAGTGCGGCAAGCTTCAGCAGATGGCGTACGACGACGGCATGGACGGTGGCGACCTAGACGCTAACGGTAGATTTGGCTCAGATCTGTGGAATCCTAGATCTAGAATTCCAGATTTCTTCTTCGAGTTTCATGGAATTTTTGTTGAATTTTCCAGAACGGATTTTTGTGGATTTTTTGTAAATTGGATGTTTTGGGAGGATTTCTCACTTGATTTTGCTCAAACTCTCAATGAAAGCACCAAATGATGGATAATAGAGTATCCAAACATATATAAAATGTAGAGATTGAGCAAGAGAGGTGAGGAAGAAGATAAATGGTGTATTGTGTATTATGAACTGGGGTTTACAAGACCTCCATAAGGAGTATATATATATAAATACGGGCTATGTCGCTAATATGGGCCTGATAGGCCCAACTACATAAAAGACTAATCTAGTACATACAAATGACATATGAACAGTACCATAATATAAATGACATTTAATAAGCGTGTGTGGGCCGCTGGCCAGGCCCAGTGATCGTGAGACCCCGGGGCCCGAGTCTATATACTCTATCACCCACGATTAGATAACCATGAGAACTTTAGAGTTCACACCATCATTCCATCAATCTACATCTTTATTTGAATTGAAACGCCACAAAGAGAATGTCAAACCCGATCACCCAGCCCACCAAATCTTGGATACACATGACGATGGCTGAAGAGTGAAGCTAGGAAGATGATGAGCACCACCGTGAAAGATGATGTGATTGGTCGGGCTGCTACTTTGGATGGAGGTGGATAGAGATCGAACACTATGTCATCATCACAAATAAAACAAAATGGCACCGCCTCCAAGGATTAATACTTTTTATCTTTTGGATATTAACCCAACACATGCAATACACCATGAACCCATAAAAGATCCAACGAAAGCCCATGTAATTCATATTCAATGTGTAATTCTAAATTACGGGCCCTTGGACCTCTATGATAAATAAAAGATTAATTAAAAATTTGCCTTTCAAAAAATCATTCTTACAAACCACTTTGTTGGAAAAGATTTTGTGGATTTCATAAGCTCTTTCTTTTCCGTGACGATCACATAAAGGACCTCATGCAACTATATAGATGTTGTGCTAAGTTCCACAATGATGAAATCATATTCAATTGGCATGGAGGACAAAACTCGGTCTGTTAGTAATGTTAGTCATGTAGCATGTGTTGTTCCTCATCACATACTTTTTTAGCATATTCAATTTTGACGTCATCTTATGATGCTTCTAGTGTTTTAAATGTCATCCACATTTTCTCATAATACACTTTTTAGATTAAGGGAGATTATTGTTCCCTTTGAAATTCAGCACTCTTTGAAGCGTAGGACGCAAGGTAAGGAAGGACATGTGGTTCTCAAATTAGGCATGAGTAAAACATATCACAGAGTGAAGTGGTTTTTTAGACATATTATGGAGAGTTTTGGCTTTAATGATAGGTGGATAAATATTATTATGCAGTGTGTGGAGACAATTAGATATCATGCTCAGGTCAATTTACGGTAGAGTATACCGTTTTTACATTGTTTGACATTGCTTAACACTGTCTGACACTATTTGATATAGATGTGTTTACCAAACAAGGAAGTGAGACTTTAATTTAGGGACATCCCAAAAAGGAAAGTGAGACTCTAATTTAGGGACGAAGGGAGTATATTTTAAATCTATTTTTTTTCTTCATAATTCAGCAGATTTAGCCAAATGCCACATAAATCAGAATTTCATAAATTTTAGCAGATTTAGGCGATTCAGCCAATTTCGGTGTTACCAAACTAGCCCTAAGTAAGGATGAAGTTACTTTTGTAATTGAATTGACCGAAATTACTGTAAAAGATTATATAAACCATTTTTTCATGCAATATTTTCGTAATACTATTAATAAATGCATTTTCAATATTATTTTCTCATAATTCACCGGATTCCGTCACTTCAACCGCAATTTTATAAATTGATGTTATCAATTGGACTCTGGACTCTAAGATTATTGTCATTCTTTTCTACAATTAAATTTGAAATCAACATTAAATTTCAACTCTTACAATTACTTCCGCTAGCATAGAGAATAGACTATGGAACATGAGCTTTGGAAAGCAAGCACATCGAAATTTGAATATGGTCTTTTTTTAATCACAGTAATTATTCGAAAGTGTAAAGAATGGCGCTATTTGAAAGAAAATATACGCACCAACAAAAATTATTACAGGGTTCGTAAATTCCGAACATCAAAATTCAATTTTGTACTCGTTGCGCCCTTCACTTTCATGACTTCATTTTCCTCTCATCCTACGCTGCGAATTTCTGAAACTCTCATCTCCGTCTCCTGATTCTCTCTCTAAGCTGTCGATCTTTCCGTCTTCCCGTTTCTGCTGCTCTCCTCCGTCTCCAAGCTTAGGGTTCATGCCTTCCTCTCCGCATACCTGTATTCACCTGGAATCCCGAGCTCTAACTTTCGAGATTCATATTTAGGGTTTACAGATCTATACATATATTCGTATTTTGCTATCTGCTTGCTGCCAGTTTTCACTCTCGTGAGTCTCTTCGCACACATACTCCCCTCTCTGTATCTATAGGCGCATACACCAGCTAGGAACATGTTTTGGAAGCTCCCTCCCCTCTCGGCTTCGTCGCCGGTAAGTTAGCTGATCCGTCTCCACGTCTGCAATGCTGCAGTTTTCGCAATTTAATGCATTTGGGAGGACTTAAGGACAAAAAAATCTACTCGCAGTTATTACTGTTATTTATCCTGGAGAACTGAACGGTATCATCTTCTAAGCAATTGATGTTAGAAAATGACTTCAAGAGTTAGTTAGAAGTATACTTTATCGTTTTGAACTGGTGGTATTTGAGCTGTCGGAGCACTTTAGTCATGTCAAGTTGAGATGAGGTTAATCAAATATGTAGCAACATTCCTTGCCCATAAAGACACTCGTTGTGTTGCATTTACTACACCAGATTGCTATGTCGTTTTTAGCTGCAGAGACAAATCAAAATTCCGATCTAAGAATAATTTATTTATTTCTCTATGTATGTGATCTGAATCCCTGTCACCAACAGTTGATCTTATGATCTTATCCTGGGGGCATTACTGATGCAGTTCGGACTTTAACTCTTAGAACCATTGAACTCCCATTTATCAAAAATAGTTTTTTCTCTGATTATTGGGCCTTTCATGTTTTAGATTAAGTCAAAAAGTTTCTAATCAGTAGATGACTAAGTTGCTGTCCAGTTTAGTATAGCAATGACAGATACAAAAAGCTACAGTAATCCACTTGTTATTGCCTGCATAAGTCGTTCTTCTGTTAAAAAAAGACCTTAAAAATGTTTATGTCAAGTATAAACCATATTTATTCAAGATATGAATTCCTATGCTCCAATTGAGTTTGAGTTGCTTTTCTCAGCAATTGAATTTTTAAATTATATACGGAGTACTAGTTTCCTGCATGACAGTACTTGTTTTGAGCTTTAGAGGTGAAATCATATGGGCGCCCAATTTTTTGGCACTAGAAGTTTTGATCTCTTTTATAAGATTTAGGCCCTGCTTCTGCCATAATTTTTGTTTGACAAAGATGTGTTGTTATTGTATTTGATTTGACTTGGATCACTAGATTGAAGCTATACTGGACAAAGAAAATTTCACATTGGAAGAACTTCTTGACGAAGAGGAGATAATCCAAGAATGCAAAGCTTTGAATAGTCGACTGATAAATTTGTAAGCTGGATAACTGGATTTTGATATTACTGCTATATGATTTTAGTATGATTTATTGAACAGGTTTTATAGGAAGTTGACCTAGTTATTAATTTTTTCCTATCCCTAGGGTCTTGGACTTTCTGAAACATTTTTTATTTTTATTTTGGCCTTTTTCAGTTTGAGAGAGAGAACCCAGGTTGAGCAGCTGCTTCATTATATTGTTGAAGAAACTCTTGATCATGCTGATAGCAAACGAACTTTCAAGTATGTTTCATGATTTAATACTTTGATACTGTTTTTTTAATTTATAACATGTAAAGACATTTATGTTTATCCTTTCTGAAAGTTTGCATTTGACATTTTAGGTTTCCTTTCATTTCCTGTGAGATATTCACATGTGAAATTGATGTTATCCTAAAAACTTTGGTTGAGGAAGAAGAGGTACACTACGAAGTGTCAGCTTCGCTCAATTCCAGTATTTGACTGTTACGGTTGCAATTATGTGTATCCTAGATCTCAACCATATTAATGCAATTTTTGGCAGTTAATGAATTTGCTCTTCTCCTTTCTGGAATCAAGCCGTCATCATAGTTCCTTGCTGGCAGGATATTTCAGCAAGGTATATTTTGATCAGTTTAAAACAACATTTGCTTGTGAATCTGTTAATAGCTAAAGAAACTTTCTTTAAGTAGTCCATGTTGCTTGCAGGTTGTAGTATGCTTGATGATGCGGAAGACTATTCCACTTATGAATTATGTAAAGGTGGTTACTATATTATGTTTGACATAGCTAAATAATTGTTAATTCTTATGAAGTTCATAATTTTATGAAGCTAATGCTGTTGTTAATATGAGTTATCAAGTGATATTTATTTTAAAAGTCTAGTTTTATGATTTTTGCGTACTTAAATGAATGATATGGATTTTACAAGCACTATGAGGCTAAAGCTTAATGCATCAAAGCCTTTGTAAGTCTTGGTTTTAGGTATCAAGTACTTTTCTCGTGTATGCTTCGCCTATTGCTGTATAGGTTTCCTTGATTTAGTTTGTTTGGATAACTTGAATTTGGTTTGTTAAAATGTAAATAAAAAATCTACATCTTCAATATTTTCTTGGAAAAATTGATAGTAATAATCCCAACTATTGGCGGTCCGCTCATAATAATCCCAACTATCGATTATTTCAGAATAATCCCAACTTTAGGAACCCTCCGCCAATAATGGTCCGGCGTGACCGGTTATAAATAAATTCCTATAGTTTCTAAAGTGAATGAGAAGAGATATAGCAGGTAACCCCCATAAATAATCCCAACTTTTAATTTTTACTCTTAATTTCTATTTAAAATTCACATGTTATAACAGGTAATATCCGGTCATGGACCATTATTGGCGGAGGGTCCATATAGTTGGGATTATACAAAAATAATCAATAGTTGGGATTATTGTTAGCGGACTGGCAATAGTTGGGATTATTATTTTCAATTTTTCCTATTTTCTTCCCTCCTAGAGTCCTAGTCAAAATAAGTTGGAGCCATAAGCCCATCATTCACAATTTTTCATGTTTATTTTTCGGTTCTTCAACAGTTACTAAGCAATATATGATTTTCATAGGCGCATTAGTAAATTCAATGAAGCCACAATAATTTTTTTGCCTTTTGTAACTCATTTATTATAAGGTAATTTGCGATGCAGACTGTAGTTGTTTGATCTGTAGTGCTTTTTTTGTGTGTGCCCACCTCTCAGATGACTAATTCTTCTTTCACGTGTTGCAGGCCCATCATGATGTTTTTGGCCTCATGGTTGATCTGATTGGTATTACGTCCATCATGGAGGTCAGTAATGGGTTTAAAAATTAACAACTGATCTATCATTTGTTTTAACCTTTGAGATATTGATTATTAGTAGTTTGAAATGGCACGTTCAAAAGCATTGACCTTTGGTGCTAACTAGGTCTTTTGTACAGGTTTTGGTGCGTCTTGTTGGGGCTGATGATCATAACTATCCCAACTCAACGGAAGTATCACAGTGGTTGGCTGATAGCAATTTATTAGAAATGATTGTCGATAAACTAAACCCTTCTGTAAGCACACATGTTTTTTTCGCCTGCTCTAGCAGTTGTTCTGCCTTTTAATGGCTATATACAGTACAGACTGAAAATGTTTAGTCCTTTTTTGGTAAAATGTCAGAACCATTGTTTTTGCCTGATTGGGCTAGTCACTTCCCAATAGAAGATTGAATTTGAAAATGGGTAAGATGTGCTTAATATGTATGTGTAGTATTTCCGTATAGATAAAGAGTAACTGAGTAGCTCATGTTATTCATTTAATAATGTTCAAGTTGTTTCCTATTTAGTTGAGGTTGTGGAATATTGTCAATGTTCTGCTGTGAATTGATCTTTTTTCAATGCTTTGTTGAAGTTCTATATTGAGCAGTGTTTTGTTTTTGGTAGTTTAGTATTCCAACTTTTCATCAGCATATTTTTTTACGTTCTCACTTATAATCATTAATGTACCTGGTGCCCTATCTACTCCATGAACGTGAACTGTATGTCCTGAGCTCTTTATATTTGTGCTGTAATGCCTGTTACCTGGCCTTGTTCCTCATTGTATTCATACTCACTCATTCACTGTGCTTGTCTATTGATGCACTCTTAGTCACTAGTTATCAACTTATTGTCAATATGCTTTACTTTTTCTTACATAGAAACTAATTAATGAGTCTTCTGGACAGTTTTAGAGATGCTTGGTTTGCTCTATTGCTGAATTTTGATACAGTTCGTATGAAGAATTAACTTTGGGTTGGAATACATATTATCTCAAAAATATAAATATAAATAATTTAATGCCATCTATTTTGCTTTATATTCTCCAGAATCCTCCTGAAGTGCATGCTAATGCTGCAGAAACGCTCTGCACAATTACCAGAAATTCACCATCTCCTCTTGCTACAAAGCTATCAAGCCCAAGGTTCTCACGACTTCTCTTACCATTTCAATTGCAAGTTGGTTTATTTCCTATTATAAGAAAAATGTGTATCTAAAAATCTGTTTTTTAGCTTTATTGCTAGAATATTTGATCACGCACTTGAAGACTCACATTCAAAATCCGCCCTTGTGCATTCATTGTCTGTGTGTATTTCTTTGTTGGATCCAAAAAGATCAACTCCGTCATCTATGATGTATTCATTCCGAAGCCAGCACTTGTATGAGGCCCCTTTGCATGTGAGTTCTGACACTATTGGTGCAATGCTGCCTAAGCTTGGTGAGTCTGAACTTTACATAATTATGGGAATATATAGACATGCAATAGTTGTTTTGTGCTTTCACAATGTTTCTACAATGTTTTTAGTTTTTTACTCCATCCGCCCCTTAGTGAACTTCACATCTGCTTTTGCATGCAGTTTAAAATAGCAGAGTTTATGTAACTGAGAATTTGATATTTATTTAGAAAGAAAGGAAAAATATCGACGGCACATTCATTTCTTTAAAAGGAAAGAAGCTTCTTTTGACAACCAAAAAAGGAAACAAATGAAGCCTATTAAGTGATGGAGGGATTTATCATCATTAAGCAATAAGCAGAGTCTTAGGTTGCATTCTTTCATTTTCATATTATTTTGATGCTATGTGAGGATCTTAGGCTCTTGTTCTAATATTTGAATTTCTTAGCTGCTTAAACTATTTCCGGGTGTGAATAGTCTATGGATTTCAGCAGCCTCCTTTACACAATTTATTTTGCGAGCTTATTCACATATGAGTATATTGGAATGATATGAGAGGACAGATGCTTCTGTTACCCATCCCAATACCCCCTCTATCCCAAATTGTGTGGCTGAGATTTGTTTAGAGTGGAAGAATCAGTTTTAGCCACACCATTTAAAGGAAATGAAAATTTTTCGGGTCGCTCAACGAAGCACATATGTGTTACCTGTGAGTGCTTCGTTTTATGTGATCCTAACCACACCTATTTTACTCTGTAAATGTTTATCATGACGTAGGTGACTTGCTGATGCTATTAAATGTATCATCTGATGAGAAGGTTCTTCCGACAACATATGGTGAATTGAGGCCTCCTCTTGGGAAGCATCGTTTAAAGGTTAATTTTGTTTGAACTTAAATTTAAGTTGGCTTGCTTCTTGCCTTATATGTTAATCTCATCTAGAGCCGGGCAGCTTATCCATGTTCAACTTCTCAAACTAATCTGAGTTGGCCTTTTTCTCATCCTACACTTGATTCTTGCTTGGGGTTTCTAAAAGGAAAAGGCTAGGTGCATTCATTGGGTTAGGGAGTGAGGCGATTTTATCTACTTGCCCTTCATGAATAAGAAAAGTGTTTTTATGTACATCAGATCTGTACGACCCCTTCACACGACAAGAAAACTTCATTCTTCCAGACAAGTGTCTATGGAACAAAACTAACCTTCACTTTCCATAGAAGTTTTTGCTTTGTTTCAGGCAAACACAAACTTCTCTATGTGCAGACAGATTGTTCATTTGTGCTCATAGACAATTTTGTCTTTGTGAATAAAGAATCTTGTCTTTGTGAAAGTGATGTAAAAGGATGCATGCGCCATGGTGTATATTAAACATTACCTATCAGTTAAATATGTCCCCATTGATTTAGGTAATTATAGGTGAAAGTACCCCAATCCTTAACCCAATGCCTACACCAGGCCTTAGTCTTTTTAAAATACTAATAATATGTAGAAAAATGCCACGATTGCTGCCAAGAAATTTATGCGGTATGTGTCCTTTTTTTGGGATGAATATCATTTTAGGTTTTGTTCTCCAAGGGTAGCAGTGTCCTTGCAAAGTTCACAAGTTGAAATGGAAATAGTGTGGGCAACCATATGTCTAACATTTGCCACTTATCTTTTACTTGTGATTGTGATGGGACTTTAATTATATAACTCTTGTAATCTATTCTCGCCTTTGAATCCTAATCCATTTCTTCTGCTCAATGTAGACTGTGGAATTCATATCTGTTCTACTAAAAACTGCCAATGAAATAGCAGAGAAAGAACTAATCAACTCAGGGACGATTCTGAGAATACTGGATCTCTTTTTTGAGTACGTTCCTCTGCCTCTCCCCTGGAGTTATATGGTCAGAATAATTGTAACTCGATTGCTGGATTTGTCTCTGTTTTTGAAATGTTAGCTTTTAATGGCTTCAGGTACCCATATAATAATGCTTTGCATCATTATGTTGAGAGTATAATCTACACCTGCTTGGAAAGCAAATCTTGTATTGTTGTTGACCATCTTTTTCAAGAATGTAACTTGGTTGGGAAAATGCTTCAAACAGATAAACGGCCATCTTTATCCAGTGATGGGAATCAGGTATACATATTTGAATTGCTGGACGATTGTAATTTTTTTGACATATCCTCTTGCGTCTTAGTCAACAATGTGAATTTGCAATTTTTCTATTTTTCTGTATTTGAACTCCTGTTGTATGAGATCAATTCTATATGATCAGTAATGTCTTAATTGATCAAGGCAACTCGTCCTGCTGCTGGAAAAAGAGCACTCCGAATGGGAAACATAGGACACCTAACGCGGATTTCAAATAAACTTGTTCAGCTGGGAAACAATGATAGTCGCATCCGTGCACATCTTGAGGTATGATGTTTCATTAGAATTCTTGTATTTATGGGTTAAGCTTATGTGTGTATGTGTGTGTTTGTGGCAGATCACCTCCCATCTTTGAATTCTTTAATTTATGAAATCATTTTCTGAACCAATTTTTCTTCCCCATCGTAACCTCATCTTTGTGCAATGTCACTACCTTCCTTTGGCTGATATTTTTTTTATTTGTGGGAATTGTGCCCGTAGTCTTCAAAACACCAATCTCATGTTTCCTTTTGAATGATGTGCTATCTCATACAGTAATCACTATTGCAATGACATTTGGTTTTCTCCAGAAAGTTACTGAATGGGGTGAATGGTATGCTACAGTCTTGCATGATCGTAATAAGATCGAGAATGTACACCAATGGGCATGTGGGTATGTTTCACTGTTTTTTATACATTTACCTTTGCATCAAGATTTGTAATGCGCAATATACTGTGCTCTAATTTAGTGCCATTTAATTGATGAAGTAACTGTTTTTTTTTCCTAGAATTTATAGCGGCTAGGAATTTTATATAATTAACTAACCTATAAACTCAATGTCACCAATCCTAAATAGTTTGGATTAGGCTGCCGCTGCCTCTGAATAATGTTCCTTGAATGATATTTGATGTCAATGATGTTCCTATGATCCTATCTAAAGTCCAAGTAGGCTTTGTGGGGAAAAAATTCATTATGATTTTGTATCGGTGCAGCCGTCCTATTGCCTCACATGATCGGACAAGAGACAGTGACGAGGAAGATGCTCATGACAGAGATTATGATGTGTCTGCTTTGGCTAATAATTTGAGCCAAGCATTCAGATACAGCATATACGACAATGATGATGTTGAGGATGTAAGCGGTTTCACCAAAGCTGCCAAAAGAAGTTGTTTATTTACCTTTTATTTGACCATTACATATCCCAAAATCCTAACCAGAGAAGGGATTTCTCCCCTATATATAATTATATATAAATTCCCTGTTCAGTTTGTTAATTATTAAAAAAGGCTTGATGTTTGTATTACACATGTGCAGGGTCATAGATCTCTTGACCGGGATGACGAAGTAAGGATTTTGACCCATTTAGATCATTCACTTGTTGTTTCCCTGTTTACCACCCTTCTCCAAACTTGCTCATGATTAATCATTTTTAATATTTAAACATTAAAACATAGAAAATTGATAGTAAAACAATTTGCTGCTTCATCTTAACCGTTATATTTCCAACTGTGGTCAGCAGTGAGGTGGTCACCAGTTCACCACAGTTGGACTTTGTGATTCTGGAAAACCAAATTTGGAAGAAAACATGATAACCCAACTACTAAGTGTGTTCTCGATTCTTTATTCTCTAGCTTTCTTACTTTTTAGAGTACCGGAGAATTCCCTCTCAGTACAAGCATAATGTTTTGACATTATTTCATTTGTTATTTCTGCTTTCCTTTTCCAAATTTTATGATTAATATAGTAATGTTGCACTTGATTTTTCATAAATATGAAGGATGTTTACTTTGATGACGAGTCTGCAGAAGTGGTGATATCGTCTCTGAGGTTGGGAGATGACCAAGGGAGGTGAGTGTCTTAGTATAACGGGTGAGGGATTCTGATTAAATTTTTATAGTTCTTTGTGGCGAATAAGAACTTGCCCAAATTGATGGATTGTGGAAATTTTTATGAAAAGCCTTTTGTTTTTCAAATACCTTTGTTTCTGTACAGAAAGTCTTTGGTTGTATGACACATGCTCCTTCTATAACCCTTTTTGCAGCAGTTTGTTCACAAATTCAAATTGGTTTGCATTTCAAGACGACAGAATCGACGGTGCTACCTCGGTTTCTGACATGGCGATGGAGGAGATCAACCTTAACAGACCACAAAACAGTGGCGGTGGCAGTAACAGCGATGATGAGGTTGTGGTTGGAGCAGAAGAGGACGAATTGGCTGCAGATGGCAAGGCCGCTTCTAACACAAGCATTCTCAACGGATTCAGTGGTAGAGATACTGATTTCTTCCGTTTCGAGACATCAGAAGAGAACGATGATGATGACCCATTTGGAGACCGGCCCATACCTGAATGGGTAGCATGGGGAGATGCCACAGATCTCCATGTTGAAAGATCCAATCTGAATCCATTTCTTGATCAACCCATCTCATCTAACAACATTTCATCGGAGGAGGCAACCCCCACATCCCTACCACCCCCAACTGACACCCCCTCAACTTCCGATCCCGCCAAAACTTTGTCAGTGCCAGAACCTGTTCACAAACCCGCCCCGGTTCCGTCTTTGTTTGAAGATGATGTTGAGTTTGTAGGTGTGGAATTGGAAGGTACAGAGAAGGCAATGGAACATGCTCTCAAGGAAGGGATTGTTGGTGAAGCAGGGCCATTGAAAAGGAACATTGGTGTTGTCCCACCACCCAAGTTGCCAGAAAATGACAACACAGATGAGAGTAGTGGCGGCACCGCTATAAAAGAGTTTAATGATGCAAATTACTGGAGAGTTGATCATGAGGTTGCTGTGTTGGAGTAATTAATTAATGTCGGCTACACTTTGCTGGAAGTTGAAGCCAGGGGGGTTCCATGTGTTTTCTGTTATTGAAAGTTAGAGCAGAGACATTGTACAGTATATTATTTTCTCTTCCTTTTTGGGGGGTTTTAAATTTGGATCCAACCATAGGCTTAATAGTAGTGCTTGTTTGCTATTGATTATTAATTATTGTTACCCTTGTTCATGTTTAGTACTTTAGTGCCCCAGAGCTATGCACACTATGAAAAAGCTCAGTAGTCTCTTGTATGCTGATCGGTATCTTCTCATTTCTTATTAATTTTTTAAGAAATTATACTAAATGAGACTAAAACATGGTTAAAACTCCAAAATAGGACTTCAAGTTTTAAATTGCCTAAATGGGACTCCAGATTACACTTTTGCCCTCCTGCAATTAAAACCCCAATCTCTCGCCCCCCCTTCTGCAATTCGTCACTGGCCACACACATCCGCAGGCCGCAGCACATCGTTGGCTTCTTCTGCAATCTACGATAGAATTCATCGTAGCAGCAGCAACTCCAGAACTCCCTTGACAGTAGCTCCACCATCGATCACAAGTATCCTTCTCCTTCTCCTTCTTCTCCTCCTCCTCCTCCTTCTTCTTCTTCTTCTTCTTCTTCTTCTAATGCTCCTCAAATTGTTGGTCCTCTGTTCTCTTCTTCTTTAAATTTTTTGGATTTTTATTATTTTGGATTTTTTAGATTTTAATTGTATTTATTCAGTAAACTGCCACTTGTATAATATGAGAATGTCAAAATGATTGGTTATTTGAAAAAGAAAAATGTCACGTTTGTGGCATTATATTTACCAGGATGACAATCTGAAAATGTCACTTTTCTTTCGAAAATGTCATGAAAGTGACAAAGGATCTGCCCTCCAGTGACTCTGTACAGACCTCCATGAGGAATGCCACTTGATATGCGAGAATGCCATAAAATGGCCATAAGAATGACATTTTCTTATGGGCATATGACATTTTCAGATTGTCATCCTAAAAAATATACTGCCACAAACGTGGTAGTTTTCTTAAATAGTCAATAACTTTGACATCTCATATTATAAAAGTGGTATTTTTGAAAATAATCAAAATTAACAGATTAATTAGAATCTTAAAAGTTCACAAATTAGAAGAAAATAAAAAACCAGAAAAAAGAGGCCCATGAAGAAGAACAAGAGAAAGAAGATGAGGAGGAGAAGGGGGAAGAGAAAGAAGGAAGAATTAGAGAAGGAGATTACCTGGGAGGAAGGATCGCCGCAGCTGCTCTGGAGCAATAGCAATGGGGGTTGTCGTGCGTCGCTGGTGTGCAACCGTTTTTTAATTAAGGGTAGTTTTGTCAGATTACCTATTTTTAGTCCTATTTTTGTTAAATAAAACATAGGAGTCCTATTTTTGCAATTCTACCTAGTTTTAATCCTATTTAGGTAAATCACTCTAATTTTTTTTAAGGTATATGTTTTTAGTTTAGTATAATTTCTGAGTAAATTCATCAGAATGTTGTTTTGGCACTTATTTTCTTGCACCAAAACTGGACGTTCCTGTTGTGACATTCTTTTTGTCTTCCCTCTTCAGTCATTCCCAAAATTTAAAACAAGGGGCGCAGTTTAGTTATCGCAAAAGTATTCCCCCCATAATATATTCATTATTTCAGTTTTCAAAAGTATGTAAAAACTGTTGATTTTACCTTTTTCCAAATTCTAAAACAAGAAAACTCGGCAACTATTTAAAAATTTACCCAGGACAAGGGTTTAGAGTTGAAGTAAAATTGAGTTTATTGAGTGTAAGTTTGGGGGTGGTAATGGTATGAGTGATCATAGTAAAATTAGCCATGGCAAGGAATCCAAGGATGTTATCTCATCTGGGCTTCATAATTCAGAAGAATGATGAGTTAGATGAAGATGTGTTTCATAGAATTAGAACATGATAAATGAAATAGAAAAAAAGTGTGTTAGAATTTCTATTTGATTGAGGTATGTCAATAAGATTGTTAAAAGGTAAATTTTACTGGAGAACAATTGGGTTTGTATTACTATATGATGTAGAGTGTTGGTGGTGAAACAACGTCACATTCAAAAGATGAGTGTGACACGGAAGATACGCTGCTCCTTGTACATCATGTCCTTTGCTATGCCTTCACATTCGGCACCGAAGGCACGTTGCTCTAGAGCCAATTTGCCATAAGTTTCCTCTAAACTTCCCTCCATACTCACAAATAAATCACAACACTTCAAAACCTGTCACTTCCTCATAAATGACAAGTAGCAACACACAACAAGCAAGACACACAAAGATGACCAGCCTTTTCTCTGACCAAAATAGCAACTACTGGGGAAGTCGTTCAACCGCCGAATCCCAGATCAGCAAAAAAGTACTCCCTATGCAAAGGGACAAACCACGATTCTATGCCGCACCTGGGCATCACAATCTATTCGCACAAAGGCGAAACCCTAATACGTAGTATAATAAGTTAATTATGAGTATATACACTCGCACAAAGGCGAAACCCTAATACGTACGTAGTATAATAAGTTAATTATGAGTATATACACTCCCCTCGTATTTTATTAGTTACTACTATAATTTTTTCATGTAGATTACATTTTTTATTAGTTACTCCTACATACTTTTCACTGAGGTTAAAAAATCTTCATGTATAAATAAAGAGTATGAGGGAGAACCAAATAAAATTCATTTGGAACAAAAGGAAGTGAAAATTATCGTTTTAAATTGGTACGGAGTATTCAACAACTTAGTAATTAATAACAACCATATGTATCCTCTTGAGAGGTTTCGGTATCGCGATCAAGACGACGGCTAGCGACGGTTTTGCTAAAAGTGCGGGACAGAGAGGGTTGGGGGTAACGGGTTTGGCGAAGGTAAGAGTTCGACTAGCGTTGAAGTTTCAATCACAAAACAGAACTGATGGTCCGACCTCCTCCTGAACCACCACCATGAGTTGGTGCTAGGGTTCAAGAAATTTATCCTATTAGTTATTGTTACTTTGTTGTTTGATTTCTTGTCAAGGTCTATGTTGCTAGGTTTGCCGGTATGATTGGAATTTAGCTTATTTTTATGTCGTTAGAAGTATATGGATCTATAAGATCAGTGGTCTGTGTCAAACTCGTTTCGTGGTTAGCGATTCGTAATGCTCTTTCAAGTATGATTTTACAGTCGTAGTTAGTGGAGGGTTAGCTAGTGTTAGATATGATTTTTCTTTGATTGAAAACGATCCTTAAACTAATGATATCAATTTAGGCGATTCTTTAAAAAAACGATCAAATGTATCCATAAAAACAATAAGAGAGAATTCCTCTAATTTGACTAAAACATTGAACAAATGCAAAACTAGGACTCCTATGTTTTATAGGACAAATTGTGTCGAGACCGTCCAATTGAATACTATCGCTATGTCACCCTTTACCATGTCCGCCACCACTACTGCTGACCTTAGGCGAGGTTGCCACCATCATCCTCAGATGATGTGTCGTCCACCGAAATCTGACCTACTATAGCCATCTTTATACGTTAGTGTTATAAAAATGTCATCATTTGGAAAACATGTCAAAAACCTGTCATTTTAAGCCATGAAATACCATAGTAGTTATGTCATTCTCAGATTTGAAATAATCAAAACTAACAATTTAATAAAAATTCAAATTCAAATGTTACATGTGATTAGTCATTCGTTGAAACTTAGCTCCTAAAAAAGGATTTGATCGTTTAGGAATGACAAATTGTGTCGAGACCGTCCAATTGAATACTACAATTTTCATTAGTTACCCATTTTAGAATTTATTGTATACTAGTATACTCCCTAATAATTTATGCATTTGTGTGGGACCTAGTAATGATTTAGTTTTTTTTTTATATTAATTTACAATTGCATGGCCATGGTAGAATCAATCGAGCAAGTTCTTATATAAATTTGTTGCTGATTATTAGTAGAGTTTTTTTTTTTACTCCAGGGGGGTCTGGGGGAGCCTGGAGTAATCAGGGCTGAAACTCACTCCATTGAGTTTCACACCCTTGTGTGCCTAGCGGGATTCGAACACGAGACCTCTCGCTAGGCACGGTAACCTCGCAACCAGCTAGGCTGGAGTGCTTGGTTTTTCCTTCAATATTATCAAAATATAATTAATGGACAAAAACATTACAATAAAAAAGGATGACACCCCATCCCTGAGGGTCCCCCAACACCGACCGAACAACATGATGGGAGGCTGTAAGTTGGACTACAATCACAAACTGACAGATAGAAAGTGGGGCTCCGTCCCCGGTACTTGCAGAGGCCCTATGCATTTTTTAGCATAGTAATCTCTTATCGCAGTTGCCGGGATTCGAACCCGAGACCTAACCCTTGTGGCACTCCCTCGCTCCTAGTTGAGCTACGCCCACCGGTGACAAAAATATTACTATAGTTACTATGCATGGTCAGTGTAAAAGTAGTGCATATTTTAGTCATCATAATTATCACAAAATAATATAAAAGTGTAAAATGATATTAATTGTTATCAGTTTATAACATTCATCAAACAAAAAAGTCAAGGACAAACGAATGTTTAATTTAATCTATATACGCAGTCCTAATACAAGTTTATATTGTGTTTTTCAATTTTCACACAATTAGTATGTATATATAGTAATATACATCGTTCATGAGACAAATTATTTTCAGGAAAAGACAATATAAAGTTGAGTGTTGACTAGTTGTATACAATTGGAGTAATAGTGTATCAAAAATCTTAAGTAAGGAATCATATTCTGTCAAAAAAAAGGGTTAAAAAGTAAGGAATCATATAGGAACAAAATAGAAAAGTAAGAATGATAAAATAAAATAGTACCATGTGCAAACTTTTGACTAGTTGTCTACATCGTTCATCGTATTGACTTTTTTTTTTATCTGTAATAGTAAATTTTGAATAATAATTTTAATAATTATATTTGTATACAATTTATTAGTTTTATATTTTTATGTAAATATTTTGAGTAAGGATTATTTTGATATAATCTTCATGTTAAAATTATTTCAAATTAGAAAATATCATTGGTTAAAATTGATAGTCATTGATAAAAAAAAGTCAATTCAGCGATCCTTTTCGGACCAGAATATGACAAAAGGATCAAAAGTGAAAATGAAATAAATAATAAAATATTTAAAAAGGAATAAGAAAAATATAATTAAACAGGCCGGAAGTATGATTAAAGTATTCCTTTTCAACATTAGGCCGGCCATTCATTTACACATTCTTTGTTAATTGATTAGGACTTTGTAGATCAAAGACCGAGAGCCTAAGATTTGGAGTAAGAAAATACAAAAAGATGATAGAAGTTGTGCTGAATGATCGTCTAGGTAAGAAGATCAGGGTGAAGTGCAACGACGACGACACCATAGGAGACCTGAAGAAGCTGGTAGCAGCGCAAACCGGAACTCGAGCAGAAAAGATCCGAATCCAGAAGTGGTACACCATCTACAAGGACCACATCACCCTCAAGGACTATGAAGTCCATGACGGCATGGGCCTCGAGCTCTACTACAACTAAGTGCGTTCTCTACTCCGTGCCTATTTGCTCTCTCTGTCAGTATGTAATTCAACCGTAAGAAGCATCATAAACATCATGTTTGCAGTTTGATCCCTTCAACTTGTTCTTGCTTCTTCGATTCTAGCTATTTCATGAATTCTCTGTTGTTTGGGGAATATTTTGTTCTTGGGAACCTCAACAGTCCTTAATTTGTTGTATGCCTGTGTAAACCGTGTAATTGTTGTGTTATTGACTTATAAGCTTCATAATGATCTTGAGGATATAATGATCTTTTGCTTATTTTGATGTTGGATGAGCGTCAGTCTGAATTTGGGGATATAATTGTCTGCTGGCTTGTTCATCTACTCTAGTTTGTTTAGTTCACTGTTGTTTCTTTTATAGTTGTTGAAGTCTGGGTGTGAAATAAGTGGTTATATGTTGCAGGTTAGCATCATCACAAATTTTATTACTTTTGATTGCTGATTAGAATTTCATGTCGGGAAATAAGTGATTAGCTTTATATATCTGAACTTTTAACAATTTATTACTCGTATTGAAGATTATGATCTCTATACCAGTTTATGAGGAATTTAGATTACCATAATCTCATATATGAGCTGATGATAGTCTTAGTTGTGTTGCCCTGCATTCTTGTTTGAACAAATCACTAATATCAGTTTTCTTGCACCAAATCTGTTAGTAATTTCAAGAAGCCATTATCAATTCATCTCTATTCATCTTCATAGTGGGATGTTCTTAGTTCTTACTAATTACTCGATACAAACGAACGATGGATATGAAATCTTCTGGCTTCGTAGTCTGACTGTCTTAGTCTATGCTTTTTAATTTTGAAATTTTTTTTTCTTTTACAGATTGTTCACATCTCATTCTCCCTGCACTCGACCTCCAAACATGATGCATCTATGTTTGTTTTGGTCTTCCCAATTTGAATTGTCGCCTAATGTTCTATGCAGTTTGCCCTCTGTCTCGTCTAGCACCTATTATTTTTCCTTTTATAGAAAACCAGCGATTGCAATTTGCAACACATCCAAATGATGTTATTTCCTTTGTTAAAGCTAAATATGTATCTTCACACCGTCATCCTGAGGTTTTGTTTCCCTTTGGGTGTTAGAGTTGTCAGGCATACGTTTAAAAAACAATACCCTGAACTATTCTTATTGTCATCATTATATTACTCTTTAAGGGACATTCAAGGGCTAGACCAGGGCCTAGTCGCGCAAAGCCTTGTAGACAGACAGGTCGTATGAAGACAGTTCTCACTTGCTTCCAATCGGTCGGTTTCGATACCTCAAATGTTGGAACTTTAATCAGAACCATGTGATAAGTATGGGTGGACCGGTTCCGGGCCCGGCCGGGCCTCGGTTCAGAAAATCTAGGCCCGAGCCCGAACCGCCGGTGGCCGGTTCCGGGCCAAACCGGGCCGGGCCGGGCCAACCGGCCCACATATTTTTTTTTTGGGTTTTGGTTCTCCTATTAAACCCCCTACCCCTCCCCCTCAACCCCAAACCATCCCAAACCACCTCAAATGGCCCAAAATACCTAATCCAACCTAAAACTTAAAAAAATTTCAAAAAAAAAAAAATTAAAATCCGGCCCGGACCGGGCCCGAACCGGCCGGGCCGGTTCACCAAAAGCTGGGCCCGAGCCCGGACCGCCCAGCACCCGGGCCGGGCCAAACCGAACCGGTGGACCCACCGGGCCACGGGCCAGGCCGGGCCAAACAGTGACCGGGCCGGTCCCGGGTCGGGCCGACCGGCCCGAGTCCACCCCTATGTGATAAGGAGTACGAGCTCTGATATTCGGTGGTTCAAACAAGGGATCCGAAAGAAAAAGAAAAATTAACCGTTGGGTATCAGGAACCGACCTGATATCATACTATACATCGATCAGAAACAGAATGGCTCATTGGCATAGTGCTGGTCATCAGTCCAATTCTGGTCCCAAGATGGTCACGACTCATGCCAAAAACTTGTTTGGTTCCCATCCAGAACTTTTCCCGCATTAACATTATGTCTATGACTCTATGCACTTCATAGATTAACACAATGGTTAAGCATAATGCGTATGCCAGTCAAGGTTGGTGTTTTTTAATCAATAGTGCGAATGTGCGATACACATTCATAACTTTCATAGAGGTCAATAATTGTACCAAAATAATTCAATAATCACTAACAAATCTAAACCTAAGCTTTAATTCCTCTAATAAATCTAATACAGCTGAGGACCATCCTCTTTTCTTTAGCAGGAAAAACATAAATAAAAAATGTTCAAAATGAACGAAACATTAATTAATTCCTAAACCTGAATATCTCTCTCAGTATATGCAACTAATCAAACAGGTAGCTACTCTTGGGGACGAATTCGGGTATTGGTGACATGGGAGGGTCCTGAACAGTCTCCCTTTCTTCAACTTTCCTTCTCATCTCTATCACCTTCCTGTGCGAATTGGAATGGAGAGAAGGAATGAACGTTGGACTGGCTGCTGGTCGATATTCTGGGAAGAGCCGCCTGGAACGATACCGGACCCCACATGCATTGCACAGTGTCTTCGGGCCAAGTGGACCCTCCCTCCATTGTGGTGTCTTCGTAACCTCACAATGTGTGCATTTCTTAAACACCCCATCCCATGGTGCATCATTAGCAGGCCCATTGGGCTTCCGGGAAAACTTCCTCTTTGCTTTCTTTTTGAAAGATGAAGTTTGCAGAGGAGGTATTAGAAGCCATGGATTGGCGGTTGAGGATCGTACACGCTTGGACCGGGCTCGGACAGGAACAGTTAATCCAGGTTTGATGGGCCCGCCCTCCTTCCGGATCGAGCAGAAGGAGGTGGCACTGTTACTCTCAAGGACAGAGTCTGGGCTCTGTGTTTGGTACATCACAACCTCACAATGTTTATCCCGACCAAGAAAGGGCTTAGCGGACTTTTCATCTCCGTCATTTAGTTGCTGAGTTTGCTGACAGTAAATATATCACTTGTCAAAAAAGTCATTTAGTAAGAAGAAGAATGAATGAAACAATAAAGTGATGATGGGATCAAAGAAGTCCAAAAGTTGAACAATTCTTCATATTATAAGCTGATATCCTGTGTTTAAAGAGTACGGATTATTATATTTTACCTTCCATGAAATAGCTGATTTCCCAGTAAAACTTTTTACTTTTTATATTATACCGTAGTCCTCCATATGATCTTTTGATATATGCACATAAAGTTGTACAGAACAAGCAAAGTTGGTCAAAAAATATACACAACGTGATCAATGTGTGGACATGGTATAAATTTCCGTTTTTATTTTTGCAAGGCAATCATTTTTGTGGTATGAAACAATTAAACAAATGAATCCATTTGGTGAAAGAGCAAATTTACTGAAGAATTGAACATAAAAAATGAAACTAAAAAGAAAACAGGAATCCTATTTAACGCAGACAACAAACAATACTGTCTACTGATAAAACCAAAAGGCTATTTATTCTATGAGAAGTAACGAAAACACATTATACTTACAGCACAAGCCTTCAGCTTGAATGGTGCATTCAAAGAGTCGTCTGTGATATTGTTATGGGGGAACGGAGCGAGCCCGGTTAAGGCAACGTCAGAAGGTATAGGTCCCAACATAGTGGCATCAAAATCTTCGCCGAAACCATCTCCTTCCAAACACTCCGGGGAGAAATTAAGATTATTGAGCAAGGCCATAACAGTGTCATCATCTTCATAGTCATCCCCACTTCCATTCCAAGAATAGACAACTGGTTCAGTTAATTGAGCCATATTCATTATCTGTAAAATTTCAACACAAATATCACTTCACTATGGTTATGAGTTTTGACCATTGGAAAAATGAACCCTACCCTAACCCTAACGTATCATTGTCTATACCCTATCTATATACACAGGGTTAGGAAATTATAATATAACTTCACAATATATTTAAGATATTTTACCATTCTGTTCATGAACCCTTCTCTAATCTCACCTTAATGGTCCTATATACTATCGTATATGTGTGTGAATGATAATATCCCCAAGCCAAAGAAACGGAATTTTACTATTAAAAGGATACTAACATTATCCTTATAGAGATTTTATCACGTATGTCCCTTCTAGTTAAGGAAATAAAGAACAAAGATACGGCAGTACTTTTTAAGATAATATTTCGTGTTCCCCATCAATCTCGTTCATTTGTTACAAATTTGATGGTAAATAATAAAGTCCTACCAATAATATAGGACTCCACTAGAAGATTCAAAATGAATGTGGTTCTTTTCAACTCCGTACACTTTTTAATGTTTTACGGCCAGCCTTAATAATAATAATAATAATAACAACAACAACTACTATCTAAAAATAAAGAAGGGTTACAGAATTGCAATTTTCAATTTTACTTGTAAACTACTCCGTCTATGTTTTTTTGAAAGTGTAAACTATATTTTCTTAATAAATAAAGAAGGATTACAGAATTGCAATTTTCAATTTTTAAATATTAAGAAAAATAATATTTTATGCACTGTGCTTTTCCATGATATAAAAGGAGTCAACTTTTATACAACACACAACTTTTGATTTTGATTTCTTAATTGTGCGATAATAAAAATAATTACGGCGAAAGTTATTTTATTGATTTTTCTGATAGGAATATTCTAGCTTCTTTCATAAATTCTTATTTAATTAATACTACACAATTTTTTTCATGATTCAACAAATTTAAGAACTCAATTAAAATTTCAACAATTTCAACCAATTTCAACATTACCAAGCTCTTAGAGGGCGCTTGATAACACTAAAATTAGATGCTTACCGACCGCTACGACCCGAAAAGTCGAAATCGCTCTATTTAAAAAATAATCCATATCTTATTAACGAAATAAAATAAAGTTATTAAAAAAAGCTGAATTAAATTTTTTTTCCCAACAAAATAGTAACATCAACCTTACATCTCTACCTTACTTCTCTCATTATAACATACTCAGGGCTTAGTGAAACACTAAGGCTATGTTTGGCAGACATAAGTCTCTGCCTTCTAGCTTTTGTACTGTTCAAAAAGTCTCTAAAAGTTTCTAGTTATATGTTTGCCATGACAATTTTTAAGAGTTTTTCAAAAATTAAAAGATCTTTTTTGAGATGCTACGTGAAGTAGCATCTAAAAAAGCTCGTGATTTTTAATATTAATTAGTCTTAAGTCCTAACAACTTGTATATCAAACCGAACTAAATCAAAAAGTCAACTTTTTACCAAACAGCTACCACCTTTTCCTTTTAAGATCTTTTCAGTCACTAAAAGCTAACAGTTATTAAAAAGCTCATAAAAATATCTTTTCAGCTAGCTGTGCCAAACATACCTTAAGTACCTTAAGTACGGAGTATGTTATGACAGCTGGAGAATTAAAGTTTAGTGTTTGGTGCTTGCTAAACACCCATAGGCATAGGTTTAGAAGCCGTTTGGTAATACCAAAATCGGTTGTATTAGTTCATTCTACTGAAATTTATGAAGTTTTGGTCGAAGTGAGTGGATTGACTGATTTTGCTGATTTAAGAAAAAATATAATTAAAAATACATCTTCTTAATAAAATAAAGAAAAAAAATATATGAAAAATGCTAAAATTATCCTCTACAATAATTTCAGCCAATACATCTAAAAAAGTAACTCTAACCCTACTTTTTCTTAATATGTATGTTTGATGAGAAAGTTGGTTGATAAGTTTGATAAGTTGAAAAACAGGATGTCAAACCACTCAAACGGACTCTTAGGATGTTTTTACTTAGACTGTTTTCAATTCCAGACTAGACCAAATCAATTCAGACCAGGCCAGACTTGGATAGTTATAAAATACACAGAGACCGACATTTACCAGACCAGTTCAGACCAAAATTTTTAGTCCAAGTAAAACATCCTTAATGTTTGAAGAAAGAATTCTTAATGTTTGAAAAAGAATGATGAAGAGAAGTTTATCTAGGTTCCCGGTCACCAATAATAATAATAATATTAATAATAATAATAATAATAATAATAATAATAATAATAATAATAATAATACTCCGTATATACGAAGTACATATTCCCATTGATAATAACAGTAGTGGTAGGAGACTAGGAGTGAGGAAATTAGGACATTTTAAAAGCACAGAAAATGTTTTTATGTCAATTCCTACGGAAATCTCGCAAGGATAATCCTAGAAGTAGAAAATTACGGTACGTATATTTTGTGAAACTGCAGTTTCCCTAACACAGTACGACGTCGTACTTATACGAGTTTTAACCTATGAGTATCTGACCCGCACACAAGAACATGTTTGGAGCCCTGTTTGGTGCTAATAATTGAAAAAGTAAATAAAGTAATTGCAAAATAATCGTTCGTTGTCTTTCAGAAGAAAGTGAACCGATAAATTGTATTATAATACTCATAACAGCAAACATTAACTTCATTTTCATGGAAACCCAAACATGAAACAAAGCAAAATGCCTCGAAAATCTCCAACAAGAGAATTAAAGATAAAAATTAGTAAATATTTTGAACAAAGGAAGTAAAGGGGTAAGGGAAACAAATAATTTTTTGGCAAAATTGAAATTCACTTACCTAGAAGCTTGAATCCCTGTTAATTTCATGAGAAAGACATAAGCCCTTTTCAGAAAGTTTAGGTTTGGGAGAGTGAGGAAGGAAAAGGGAGATGAATGGATAGATGGGGCAAGCAATGGAAAATGTTGGGAAATAAAAAAGAAGTCCTTTTACGTTCTACCTTTTTTTTCCTCGCAAATCTAACTTGTCAGGATTGTACGTTTTGGAATTTACTGAAAAGATTTCATTTCAGCAAGTGAATTTTGAAAGGGTTTGAAAAAAAGGAACAGTAATTAATAAGAATAATTTGGGTGACAAGTTGATAGGGATATTAAAGATGGCAGCCTGCGGAGACGCATACCATGTGATCGACTGTCTTTGTGGTTGGACATTCTACGTCAAGGCCCCGTTTGACAGCAAAAATAATACTTCATCCTATGTCCCTTATGTCTCCCTAGACTTTGCCCACTTTTCTTTTTTGTTTGTTAAAAAAAATTGTTATTGTTTTTACTCCCTCCGTAACTTAAAAATCTTTCCACTTTCCTTTTTCGTCCGTAACACAAAAATCTTCTCATTTCTAAATCTTCTCATCATACCCTCAATAATTCTTAAAATAATACACTATTACAACTACTTTTTTTGGATTTATCCTACATTCCACCACATTATTCCACTATTTTCCCATCATACCCTCAATAATTCATATCATCTTTCACTATTCTTAATCTACCTACTTTTGAAATGGGAAGATTTTAAAGATACGGAGGGAGTATAAAATAATGAATTTGGAGTTTTGTTCATTTCTCGCTCTTCTTACTTTTCTCACCCAATATAAAGTTGGCAGAGTTAAGTGAGACGGAGATCATACGGAGTACTACCTCACTCCCTCTAACATTTGACATTCGCAAAGAGTTGTGTTGTTATAAAAAATAAAATTATATGATTGATATTAAAATCTCATTTCGTAATAATGGAATTGACAGGATTAGGTGAATCTATTATGAAATTTTGGTAGTAGCAATTGCATTAATTGAACTTGTTAAATTTAGGAGATACTCCCTCCGTCCCAATTTGTAAGATACATTTCGGTTTACGATGTTTGACTAACGATAAAGCAAATTGATCCCTGTCAACACCCAAATTAGTTATAGAAAATAAAATTTATATATTCAAAAACTAAATTAAATTCGCTACAAAACCTGCAAAAAATAATTCAAACTTCATAAACTTTTGATATACAAAATAAAAGTTTAAGAGTAATTTATGTTGACCAAGTGAATAGTAAATGTATCTTACAATTTGGGACTGAGGGAGTATTATATTTCAAAAATAACCACTAGTATAATAGTCTCTTACAATAACTTTCACGCATTTAATCAGAAACATAACTATAAGTGTACTTATTTTGATTACTAGTTTATGAACCCGTGCATCACACGGTAAAATATGTTCTAGTATTTGTTAATTATGAAACAATATGAATGAACATAAATTAAAAAAATTGAAGGGATACTAAACCGCATGTGAACTCGTAAAGTGTGCAACTCAATGAGTTATATTGAGTCGCTAAGAAGAAATTTACAAATACTGAAGCACATAGAGACTCTTTCCGGAAGAAATAATATAGATTATTGTTGAAAAATAGAATTGAATATATAGTTGAGTCAAGGATGCGAGGAAGCAAATTTATAAAACTTAGGCAAAAGAATGAATCAACCTTTACATGCATGTTAATGTGGCACACCTTGTGATCTAGAAGTTGTTATGTCCATTTAAATTTTATTGCTTATTCTAATTTTATTCGGATTAGATTAGAAGAATAGATAGGACCGATACAGATTAAAGTAAATCAGATAAAAACATTCATATCAAACATGGAATTTTCAAGTCAAATTGATATGATATATTACTTTCAGCATTACTATTATCAACATTATCGTCATCATCGTCATTAAGAGGTGACATGATCTGGTCCAATTGGTATATTTATATTTTATATGTAATTTGCTTAAGGGTATGTTTGCAAACAATTAAAAATGTGATTTTTAGCTTTTGGCTCAAAAGTTGAATGAGTATTTTCAAGTGACAACTTCTGCTAAAATTACACATTTAAAAACTAAAAACTAGAAACTATTTTTTACCCTTTCTATTACACAAAAGGCACATATTTTACCAAACACTACCAACTTTTAATTTATAAATCAAATTTATCTCAAACACTATCAAAATTTTCTATTAAGCACTTTCTGCAAAATCATTTTAAAAAGTCTTTTTTTAAAGCAGAAGCAATCGCAAACACTGCCTAGGTTCGAGTTGTTATAATATTATATAGTCTGATTTGGTATGATCAGATTGATATGGTTTAATACAAAACATCCAAAAGGAGTATGCACGCAAGCTTGGGAAAAGAAATAAAGGACAATATTTTTTAGGAATTATAATGAAGATCTGAAAGATAATTTAAGTAATAATAAGAAATCCCAAAGATAAAGACATAAAGTGTGTCAATATATATATACACACACACACACACATATATATATATACATATACACATATATATAGGGCGCCCGTATGATTTAAAACTGTCAATGGAAGATCTAAACTTTCATGAATTTTAATATTCTTTTATTTTTATAAATTAGATTTTATTCAATCTTTTTAAACTAATAATATTATGTGAAAAAATAGAAAACATTAGCAGTGGAACTTATAAAAATTGTAATAAATCAAAATATGTAATATTTTAGATCTTTGAGTAATAGTTTTTAATCATTTGGGTCATATATCGATACAATTTATGTTTTAGGTCCCTTATTGTTGATGAAAATATTTTTCACGTCTTGGATTGATATTTTTTAGAAGCCAAAAGTAGTCCATATGTTGTGTATTACCTTCATCCATTTAACATTGTCAAATTTGAATTAGGTGAGTAAAAAACTGATGTGAGTTTTCTCGCACTTAAAATAGATCATAATATAGTGGTGTAAGTACGAGTATCGTCTCCACAGGGACGGATAAAAGGGAAATAAGAATTAACTAAATTTAGCGATTAAAAAATCTTGCTTATATAATGCAATTGTGCGAGATTGGTTGATTTGGAAAATTAACTCATGCGAATGACGAAGGGAACAAGGATTAATTCCGGGGTAACCAGATTTCTAGCAGACCAGGCTTAATTACATGAAATTAATTTAATTGAGCCTAGCTAATCATTACTAAGTTCTTACCGCTCTCGTGGCGTAGAATACAATAATTTAGGGGACCAGGTTGATCTCTCATGCGACAAGATCCTAAATTATTACCAAGACGAGCGAGCTTACGGCCCCTTAATCGCTAATAATCTCTTAGCGACCGATTAAGTGTGTGTGAAGGTGTCCTAGAATAAATTAGATCTCTCTTAACTTATTTTACAAGCAATTGTAATTCTAGCGCGCGTTCTAGGTTACAAGAGATATCAGTTAAATTATTCAAACACAAATTAAACGGAATTCATGCAAGTAGTCCATCCAGAATTTAGCCATACATCATGATTAACCCCTTCATCAACCCTAAATCCCTAATTAAACTACTCATAATTCATAATTGAAGAATCAATAGAATTGGGAAGAATAGAATTAATTGTCATTAATTAAAAAGATGAACTTATAAATAATCCCAGGGTCTTGGAGTAAACAATGATAAAAATGCAAGTAAATTCGTCCCTAGGCTTTCCGTAATGTCCGTAACCCTTAAGTAGGAGAATAGATGCCTTATTTATAGAAAACAGATGCATTTGGGCTGAACTGCGATTGCAGGGTCGCCCACTCGGCGTGCGGGTTAAGGATGCTTTCTTTTGGACTGAAATTTGCTGGTCTGGTCTGGTCTGTTTAAGTCTGGTCTGGTCTGTTTAAGTCTGGTCTGGTCTTAACCGGTCTGGTCTGGTAAACGTCTGGTCTCTGTGTATTTTATAATTACGGAAGTCTGGTCTGGTCTGGTCTGTTTAAGTTTGGTCTGGTCTGGTCTGGTCTGTTTAAGTCTGGTCTGGTCTGGTCTGGAACTGAAAACAGTCCAAAAGAAAACATCCTAAGTCCGCTCGGCGAGCGGGTCTATCGAATGCTTTCCGTAAAATATTCGTCCGCTCGGCGTGCGGGTTAAATCCGCCCGGAGAGCGGGGCTTCCAGGGATCATAAATTCATCCCGCACGACGAGCGGGAAAGGGCGCGTGACGTGCAGATTAAACGTCCAAATTTTGTGAACTTCTGCCACCTCCGCTTGGCGTGCGGGTTCTGTCCGCTTGGAGTGCGGATCTTCAAACTTGACTTTTCGACCGTTTTTCACCCGTTTTCGCATGTGATTGCTCCCGTGCTCAATTCTTTGGCTCTTTTGACTTCAAATCATCATCATGAACCTCCCGGTAACCTCCAAAACTCTCGAATCATTCTCGAATGCTTCTCAACTCATCCTGATTGCTTCTCAAGTGCTGATGCAGGGCTCAAATTCTCTGATTTTGACTCCAAAAATACCAAAACTCGAACCAATGCCCGGTAAACATAACTTGAGCTAAAATTGAGACTTGTGACACCTTAAAGCTAGCAAAACCATCAAAAGCTGATCCCAACACACATCAAATGTGTCGAAATACGGACTTATCAAAGCGCTTGGTTGTAAATGGGTCTATAAGATCAAATATCACTCCGATGGCACGGTGGAGCGGCTCAAAGCGTGGTTGGTTGTACTTGGCAACCATCAACGTGAAGGTATTGATTATACAGAAACTTTTGCTCTTGTTGCCAAGATGGTAATTGTGGGTGTTTTTTTAGCGGCTGTTGCGTTTAAAAACAGGGAATTACACCAGATGCATGTGCACAATGCCTTCTTTCATGGTGACTTGGGTGAAGAGGTTTACATGAAGCCTCCACCCGGATTTTATTCCTCTCGGTTATCTACAGTTTGTAGGTTGAAAAAATCTATGTATGGTTTGCATCAAGCTCCGCGTTGCTGGTTTGCTAAACTTGCTACTTCTTTGCGGGATTATGGATTTTGTCGGTCTAAATCTGATTTGTGACACCGCACCCAAACGTCCTTGAAATTCAATTTAAAATTCAAAGTTTATGTATTGAACTTCCTATTGTCGAACGAGTGTAAAACGATTAATGATTTCTGTAATGCATGTTTGATTATTTTACCATTTGAGCTCGTATATTAATGACGGGCCTTCAAATACTTATTTGGGCAATCTAAATAAATGTAGGAGCCCAACATTTTCTAAATAATGATACATAACCTTTCGATACAAACTAAGGAAGGCCGGGCGGCCCAAACATCATTTTGGGCCCAACCTGCTAAAAATAGTAAGTATTCAAGAATGGCGTCATAGGCCCACTCGAGGGTTACCCACACGGCTAGTAGCCCAACAATATGAATACTAATGTCATAAATAAGTGATAGGATGATTAGAAAAGAATACAAATGCTCACGGTCTCATCTTTGACACTATTGAGCTAAATAATGGGAGTAAGGTTTTTCTTCTATAATATTCATCATGTAATTTATTGGGATGATGCTACACATATTGGAGATCAATAATATGATGTAGAAGGTTGAATTGTTCTAAATAAATTAGAATGAGTACAAAAAGACATCTTTTGACAAAAGATAAAACGATAGGACACATTTTTCCATTTTTGGAAGTATTGGTAGATATTTTGGACCCCAAATTGATTGGGATCAATTGGGGAGCATTGCACACGATTTGAGTACCTTCAAAACAAATAAAAATGGGTGAGAAGACTTACCTTGGCCGGACAGCATGGAGAGGACTTGCACAAGACATAATTGGCATCAATTTGGGGCCACCATGACTATTTTCGCATAAATTGGTGTGCTTGTTTGTCTCCCTCCATAATGGGAGTTGTACTTGTCCAAATGAGGTGAATAAGGTGTCCCTGGATAGCATTTGAAATCTACTTTCATTATTGAGTGGTTTCTGAGCAAGAAGAGATTATTACCGACAAAAATCGAGGTTGAGCGAACTGCTGCGTACACACTCGAGCAGTGAGAGAGTTGGTGTTTTTTGGTTCATATCTTGAGTTATACTAATCCGTGTGAGGTACCTGCGGATAGCTCTCAAGATAAGGAATCCGTCAAGGTCTGGTTTGCATCAAACGGAGTAGTGGAAAGCTTCCAAATCATCCGAACAAAACACAAACGCGCAGGGACGGATTTACTTCTCTAAAGTGAGTTATAATCCCAAAACCTTTCACTTCATTTACCAAATGATATGAACGATTGGTGGAACTATTATACACTATTTCAAGTGTATAATATGTCCATGTAAAGTCATTTTATTGATGTAAAGGTTAGATACTAACCTAGAGCAAACCTTGGAAAAAACTAGGAAACGAGTTCGCCGGAAAACACCCATTCTAGGGACTGTTTTCGTATCAACGGTTAGAGGGTGTGCTAGCACTTTGAGGAGGCTGTTTAACACTCATTTCTAAGAAAGGAAACAGTTCTCAATCCACCTTGACCGAAGCTTTGACCATTGAATCAAGAAGGAAAAGTTTAAAGCTCAATTAAGGTGAGGACCGACATCTAATTGTTTACAACTTGTAGGTTGTGCATGAGATTACCTATATGCTCAAATCATGTTTTTCATGAATAAAGATGCTTGAACATGATATGAAGAATAACTAATGAACTTGATTATGATTTGGACTTATATTAATGAATAAGGAGTTAAGTGAAGTATAAATGTGTTATATTACGCCAAATAGCCATTTCTACTCGTGTATGCATGATATGCCTATGTAAACAAATACTTGAATGATGAAATTGAACACATGGGGAGGCTGCCACATATTATTAATATGTAGGGGCTCCCATATGTGAATGAATGTTTTGTAAGAATAATCTTAATAGTAATGAAATACTAGTTAAGGATTGTTCAAATTGTTGATAGAATCAAACCTAAGGTTTGCATAGTATTGTGATGAAATTGATGGACTTCAAGTGTCATTTGTGTCTTAGTGTGAACTAAGGTTAAGTTGGGGTCAATCCATAGGATTTCCCAAGATAGCTTTATGTATGAAAATTCTAGGCATATTGAGTGCTTATGAATTGGGGTCTATGCCAATGTAAGGAGATGCACTTGAGCCCGAGCTCTAGAATTGCATTGGGTAGACATAAGATTTAGGTTCATCCCATGTAAGGAGATGCACTTGAGCCCGAGCTCTAGAATTGCATGGGTGGACATGATGTCGGAAATTGATGAGGTGATATAAGGTTTGGAACCTAGGGTCAAATCTATGCCAATGTAAGGAGATGCACTTGAGTCCGAGCTCTAGAATTGCATTAGGTAGATATAGCGTGGACGCATTAGGGTTGGGCCCTATGTGTTGTCGTGACTAGTGGTCACGAGGTTTGGGTTATGTTTTGTGATAAACATGGGCCTACGGGTCGACTACTTAACTTTATATAAAGTAAGTATATTTTGAAAAAGGGGTAACTTGTGGTTACGTCCTAGATTATATTATCACCCTACTTGAGGGTCTTGTGTATGAAATACTTGTTGTATATCTATTAGATGTTTGCCACACCAGTACTTTATAGCCGTATAGAGTACTGACCCATTCGGGGGTGTCCTACCACCATTTCAGGTTGAGGCTAGAGCTTGCATCATGTGCTCGTTGATCGAGTGATTTCCCGGAGAGAAGACTTGGTTCGTGCTTCCTCCATTCAGTTTGAAACATTAATAAATTTGCTCATGGATATTTTAATTGAAGCCTGCGTGCTCATGTTTTTCCCTATGTGGCATTTGATTTCAAACTATGTTTCCGCTGCGTATTTAATTACTTATTATGCATGTTTATGGATGACTTATGTGTTAATGATATTCGAGACGCTTTGTATGATATGTATGTGTTCGACTTTGGTTGACTATTCGTATTGTACGGCGGGTTGTTGACGTGTCTGGATCGGTCCGGGGCGTGACATGATTACTCTTTATTTATGTACCGCCGAGGTGACACACAATTACATGTTCTTGTTTATGTGGATGGTCTGATTGTTGCTGGAAATAATTCTCCGTCTTTGTCTCAGTTCAAGCAATATCTGCATAATTGTTTCCACATGAAGGATTTGGGACCGCTTAAATATTTCCTGGGCGTTGAAGTAGCACGCAGTGCCGAGGGGTTATTTCTTTGTCAACGAAAATGTGCATTGGATATTATCTCCGAAGCTGGTCTCTTTGGTGCTAAACCTTCTCCCTGTCCTATGGAGCCCAATCATTCTCTGGCAATGGCTTCGGGGGATTTAATTTTGGACCTTGAATCTTATCTCCGCCTTGTGGGACTTCTTATTTATTTATTTATCATTTACTTGTCCGGATTTGGCCTATGTTGTTCATATTTTATCTCAGTTTATGCAGGCACCACGTCAGGAGCATTGACACGCAGCCCTCCGTATAGTTCATTATCTTAAAGGTGCTCCCGACCAAGGCATTCTTCTCTCTTCTTCCTCGGAGTTACATTTCATGGTCTGGTGTGACTCGGATTGGGCGAGTTATCCTCTCACTCGTCGCTCTCTCAATGATTGCTTGATTTTTCTTGGAGGATCTTTTGTCTCTTGGAAGACCAAGAAGCAGCATACGGTCCCACGTTCTTCCGCGGAGGCGGAATACCAATCTATGGCAACGGTTACTGCAGAACTCAGATGGCTCAAGGGACTTTTATTGTCTCTCAAGATTGTTCATTCCCGACCTATGTCTTTATTTTGTGACAGTCGCTATGCTCTCCACATTGCTCAGAATCCTGTATTTCATGAACGTATGAAACACATTGAAGTTGATTGTCACTACGTGCGGGATGCTATTCAGGACGGTCTTCTCACGACTCGTCATGTTTCTACTGGTGATCAATTGGCTGACATCTTTACTAAAGCCCTTGGACAACAACATTTCCTTTTTCTTCTTAGCAAGTTGGACATTTTAATCCCCATGCTCCAACTTGAGGGGACTTGAGGGGGGTGGGGGGGTGTTATGGGCTTATTTGTATATTTATTTAGCTTAGCTTTAATTTTAATTAATGGGCCAAGGGTTCCCTTAAACATGTATATTTATTGTATCTCTGAATGAATAACACACATAATATATTTTTACCCTTATTACTTTCGGTCATACTCCATCAAAACTTTTTTTGTGTCCGTCTCGTACTTACTATGTAGCACGAAGTATTAAATTAAACTATTCCAAATAACATGGAGTTGGAAATGCCAAGTATTGGTTTGCTTCGCCGGCATTACATATACTACGTAGGAATTATATAGAAATAATGACGGAAATAGAACTCTAAGCTTTTAGTTGGACAAAAATAGGAGTAGTTTTTATTTAGGCGAAAAATGTAAATAAAATTAAGTGAAAAGTCCAAAATGACCTTTCCAATATTCTGCCATATCGACATTTTCTTCCATGCTAGGGCTTCTTCTTCGTGTTGATCAGGAGAGGGGTTCTTCTTCTTCACATCAGGCGAGGAGCACCTAACTCCACTAGTGCGACTGTGTGGCAGCAGACGAAGGCGATTCACATCAGAGGAGGCGATCCATATCGGCGAAGGTGACCAGCAACAATGGCAACAACCAACAGGCTCTACTTCATCCTCTTCTTTTCTGCTCCTTGATTTTCATCGCCAATGTTGTAATCGCCATAGGAGGGCAGTGACACATGTAGATGGTTATGGATCACAATTATCGAAGGGGGTCTGATGTCGAACAACGAACCAGATCTGGACTAGAATGACGGCGACTAGGGTTGGGGGGAAGCGTCAATGACTAGATTTAGGGAGGCAGCAATAGATTGGACTCAGGGTTGTGGCCGCAGCTGCTGTTAACTTCAGTGGAAGGTGCGACACCGTCGATTGGGGCTGCGAGTGGGGCAGATGCAGGGGAAGGGTAGGGGGTTGAGAAAGGGCCAGGTGGGGCTGTAAGTTGTGGACCTTGGTTGGGCGGTGGGCGGTAGAGACGCTGCTTGGGAACAGTGGTGATCGTCGAAGATGTTGCTTGGGAACGACAGTGATCACTAGCTAGGGCAATGTTGGTCACCGGGGGCAGAGTTGGTCACTGACGGGGGGCGACGGTTGTAATTGGACGGACGACGGATGTCACTAGCGGGTAACTGTCGCTGACGATGGCGGATCATTGATGGCGGAATAAATATCACTAGTGGCGGAAGCGGTCACTTTGGCATTTGGTCACTGGGCCGTCTGGTCATGGCCACTGTTAACTAGTCATTGTGGTTTTTTTTAAAGGAACTAGTCACTATGGTTCAAGGATATAAAAGTTGCTTTAGTCTCATTTTTAGATTTTTTGAAAGTAGTCTCATGTTTGTCTACATAATTTATTTTAGTATTATTTTTGGACAAACCTCAGCTATATATTCATTTAATTTTACACTTGAAATCGATCATAAACTTTTGTATAATCAAATCCAACACTTATATTAAACCATTAGGAAACGGATCGTTATAACAAACTCAAAAAGATCAACCCTAACAAAAACTATTCCTAACCAACTATCACAATCAACCCTACGGCTAGACTCTGGTACGATTACCCCTGAAAGAGCAATACGAATCGCTAACCACCAAGCGGGTGTAAACAACAATCATTGGCCATATAGATCCTTCTAATAACATAATATCTAGCAAAATTGACAATCATTATTGTTGACCTAAAACTAAAGTTCTCAACAAAAAACGAAACGCCGTAAATAAACATAACACGAAAATAAGACCATAAAAAATAGAATAACTGAAAAATACTCCAAACTTCTTTCTGATTGTTTTCTTGAAATATCATCTTCCAAATCCCGACATCTCGATCAATCCAAGGCGGTGGTTCAGGAGGGGGACGACCAGGGGCGGATGCACAGCTTGGATGGAGGGGGCAGCTGCCCCCAATAAAGCAACAGTAATCCTGTATATTATACTAGGGAAAAAAATTAACCAATAGAATATGCCCCCAATAGAAAAAGTGAAATGCCCCCAATAACTCAGTGCGGCAATGATGAAATAACACTCCGTATTCTCGATACTTCAGCTTTAATAAACCAATCGAGCTCCGCTCCTCCGTATTGCAAAAGTGTATGATTATCACTTTCAATTCTCTTGTAAGCCTATTAAGTATTAAGTTATTAACTAATTGAGTAATTTGCGTTATTGTATACTAGTACTTAGTATTTTGTATTCCGTATGTGTGTTATATTGTTAATCTGCTTATGTGTAGATTTGATGATCAAGCCCTTTTTATGTATGTAGTATTTAGATTATAATAAATAAAGAGTACGAAGTATAATACTGTTTATCCTAATTTGTTCTCAAAAAAATCCTATGATCAAGCCCTAATTTGTACACTAACTTCCTAACTTTAGTATGTTAAAATTAACAATAGAAAATTTGCAGATATAAAAAGTATTACAATGAAAATAGAATTGTGATTGATTGTCTTGTTTACTTTATATGGAGTAGAAAAAGATGTATTTGGAATCGTTACAAATAAAATTATAAAATATCTTTCAAAAGTTGAAAATTCAACGACACCAAGGATATGATGTAGCCAAATTCAAAGACACTTAAGGACGGAACCAAGATCGAAGCTTGGGGTAAGTTGATATAAAGATTTTTTCAGATAAAATTTTAAACATATTTTTTTACATTTAAAAAAATTGGGGTGGGCCGGGACTCGGTTAGCCCCCTCTACCTCCACCCATGAAGACTCCAATTGTGATTCACCTTTTTAAGTTTTTTTTTTTGTTTTGTCATATACGTAGTACTTTATTTAGTCTATAAATTCTTATGTATTGTTTTACAATTTTTTGCTATTAGAATATCTGATTATATTTTATTCCGCCCCCAATAGCTCAATTTTCTGGATCCGCCACTGGGGACGACCCGCCAATCTGTATTCTCCCTTGCTCAGCCCTTCATCGCTCCCCGTATGCTCATAACCCGTGCCAAGAGCCGGAACTAAATTTGTCAACCATTGATCCGTGGCTAGTTTGTCAATACCCCGTCTCCTGCTGTTGTAGCGCGAATCGAATTATTAGAATTCAGCCAGATCCATCATAAACTTTAAATCTTTAATTTTGAATGTGAACTCTTCAAATTATACAAGTAATCTTTTTGGCTTATGAGGACTTTTCCGCATGAGCCTTTTGACTTGTGATATGCTTCTTATGCTTAAAAGTCAAAAAGCAAAAGATGAATACGAACTACTCCGTACTTTATTTTTACTCCGACCACAATTTGATTCCCTAAAGTACATTGCGACAAATAATGGCCACGTTAGGTAAATACCTCAAAGTAACAAAACACTCGGATTTCGTATTCTGCCTAAAACATTTGGTTAAACTAGAACAAAAAAGCACAGTAGTTAAATATGGATTCCGTTGATATAAAAACACTGTTTAGATTTGATTGAATTTCTCAAATAGGAATAAAACATAGGTAAAAAGCAAACATTCCATTTTCCACTTTTAACCCCTTTTTTTTATCTGCCACTACACCCAATCAAAAGTTCAAAATCTCCAAATTTAACAGTTTGGACTCCTAATCTCTCCCTACTACAAATGGTCTTAAATGAATTCTCATTTGGTAAAAAAAGGTGAATTCTCAGTGGTCAAATTTATTGGCTAACTATAATTAATAATAACACCAAGGATGAATAAAAGATCTATACTATTCAAAAACATTATTGAAATAAAACTTTTTCGAAAAAATGTTAAATAAATATTATTATTATTATTATTATGAAAAAGTCAATTAATACTATCAACTCAAATATCAGCACCCAATTAAATTCATGAATACATATAAATTTTTAAAATTGACACCAATCTCCTTATTCTTAGGGAAACTTCGACGATAGCCGGTGGTAGCATTTGATATGACTTTTTTTTTCATTTTCTTTCTTTCTTTCTTTCTTTCTTCCTTCCTTCCTTCCTTCCTTCCTTCATTCATTCTCTTTCTTTGTTTCTTAGGGAAAACTGTCAAATAACTCCTTGTATTATATTCAAATTCAAAAAGTCAATTATGTCCTACTTTAAAAATCACAATAAGTTTTTCCAGTCACCTGCTTATGTGGCTATCCTACATGTCAATTTTTATGTTTCTTTAAATACAAATCCTTATCAGATAGGTCTCAGCTGCCAGATATGTCATCCCCATCGTCGGCTCCCTTAATTAGATCGGCGGTCATCTCCCGTAAGTAGAGTAGCAGCTCGATCTTTGTGACCAGCCACACCATCGCCATCTTCCAGTAGCGGCCATCTCCCTCATCTAGAGGAGCAGCCATCTCCTCCAATTAGAGCAACAGCCGTTTCCTTGGGACCGCCATCGCCATCTCCCCCAAATCTAACCGGATACAAAGTGTGCTTCCGGTACAAAATGCAAATTCATCTCATCCGTCCAATATCTATGCAATCGAATGGTAGGATTTGTTAGGAGTTGTTTTGAACACTAATAAATGAGCCGTTACGGTAGGGGAGTTATTTTAGGAGTTTTTTTAGGATTCTAACCTCTATATGGAAACCATCTACACCCTTATTTCATTCATATGGATGGGCCTAGATTAATTTGCACTTTGTAAATTAAGATTACTTTGTATGTGATCCTATATATATATATATATATATAGGGGCCCTATATATACGAAATACAACATCTTTGATTGCAAAAACCCATGACCAAATTGAGATGATATTTATATATAATCTTAAAAAATATTGTGGATTTATTTGATTGCTAGGGCAAGAAAAAGAGGAGGAAGTTAAAATAAGACAAAATAAACCGTCTTTTCAAAATCCGTCAGAGTGAAAATCCATTAAAATACATATGTAGTGCAACAGATATTGGCATGGTGGCACAGGTGCCGAGATTCACCACCCTTTTTTTATCTCGCATAGTTCTCTGTCAACTCCGGCGGGCCTTGGAGGAAGAATTGGAAGAAGAGAGCAGTTTGGCGAGAACAGTGGCACCGTCCGTTGAGTGAGGAAGATAGACCATAAAATGGAGTTATTATAAAAGAAATAGAAAACATTAAAAAATCCACGTGGTTAGACACATATGCAATCAACCGAAAGACTGATTACTTATCGGTTAAAATCCTTAATTGATTTTTTTAAAGTTTGAGGAGTCAATTGATTGATTTTAAAATAGGTGGGGGTCTATTTGACTTGTTAGACATTTTTTCTTCCCTCCCTCCCTCTTACTCTGTTTCCTTCCTCTCTCTCTCTCTCTCTCTCTCTCTCTCTCTCCCCCCTCCCCCTCCCCCTGGCCCCCCTCTCCCCCTCCCTCCCTCCCTCTTTCTTTCTTTCTTTCTTTCTTTCTTCTTTCTTTCTTTCTTTCTTTCTTTCTTCTTCTTTCTTTCTTTCTTTCTTTCTTTCTTTCTTTCTTTCTTTCTTTCTTTCTTTCTTTCTTTTCTTTCTTTCTCTTTCTTTCTTTCTTTCTTTCTTTCTTTCTTTCTCTTTTCTTTCTTTCTTTTCTTTCCATTCTTTCTTTCTTTCCATTCTTTCTTTCTTTCTTTCTTTCTTTCTTTCTTTCTTTCTTTCTTTCTTTCTTCTTCTTTCTTTCTCTTCTTTCTTTCTTTCTTTCTTTCTTTCTTACATAATCATCAATAAGACTGTCTGACATCTGAGCGCCGACATCTTCCCTAGCCAATTTCCATATAACTTACACAGCCAATTTGTGAAATTGATCATATTTTTGTAAACTCTATTTATGGTAGTCATATATATATATATATATATATATATATATATAGAGAGAGAGAAATCATCATGTCAGGCCGGCCTGATGGGCTGCCCCGTCCGGCCGAGCCCGTTTGGGCACCTTCCCGGTGGAATTTTTTTGATGAAATTTTTTTGAGCATGTTCCTCATCAAGTCTAGTTTGTCCATACCAAATTTCAGCTCAAAATTCGATCGGGAAGGTCGTCAAATGATTTTTGCAAGTTAACTGGTCCGGGAAACTACATATTCCGGACTAGTTAACTTGCAAAAATCATTTTACGACCTTCCCGATCGAATTTTGAGCTGAAAATTTGGTATGGACAAACTAGACTCGATGAGGAACATGCTCAAAAAAATTTCATCAAAAAATTCCACCGGGAAGGTACCCAAACGGGCTCGGCCGGACGGGGAAGCCCGTCAGGCCGGCCTGACATGAACATTCCTCTCTATATATATATAGTAATCTTCCGGTCAGGTATACCTGACCGGAGCCGCCGTCCGGCCTCCTCTTTTTGGGGGCCTTTCCGGTGGTATTTTTTATGTATGTTTCCTCATCAAGTCTAGTTCATCCATACCAAATTTCAGCAAAAAATTCAATCGGGAAGGTCGTCAAATGATTTTTGCAAGTTAACTGGTCCGGAATATGTATTTTTCCGGACCAGTTAACTTGCAAAAATCATTTGACGACCTTCCCGATTGAATTTTTTGCTGAAATTTGGTATGGATGAACTAGATTTGATGAGGAACATACACAAAAAATTTGAGCAAAAAATACCACCAGGAAGGCCCCCCAAAAGAGGAGGCCGGACGGCGGTTCCTGTCAGGTATACCTGACAGGAACATTTGTGTGTGTATATATATATATATATGCCATTATTTATTTGATAATGGTTCTAGATAATTAAATTTAAACTATTTTTTATTTGCATATAAATTGAATACAATTCGTGCAGCGCACGTGTAATAAGTCTTTATGTGTGTATCACACCAATGTATCATTCTTCTACTCCGTATCAAAATATTTATGATACTTTTGTGTCAAAATATTTAGTGATGTAACTCCACTCCGTATCACAAAACCTTATGATATTCTATTATCGCAAATTGAAAGCCTATTGGTGACACTAAATTTGGAGTCACATTTTCCAACTTGACATAAGTATCTTGTCATTGTCATTGATAATAATTCAATTCACTCATTCATTTTCATTTACCCCAATGCCCGCAAAGGCTCCCACCTACGGTGGGGTTAAGAGGGTCGGATGTACGCAGTCTTACCTCTGTACTAAAGCACAGAGAGACTGTTCCGTATGACCCATAGTGAAAATCGTGTCCAGAATTGCATGGACTGATTGTTGCTTCATAACAAAGAAGCGCAGACAGTTTAGTGAGTCATTTTGCTTTATTCCATCATATTCTCAAGCCAAAAAATAATGAATCTTTGGCTTCATTGCAAATGATGGGAAAAATAATTCAATTCACTACGGAGTATACAACATTTTTTTAGTAATATGAGTATACATTGTAGGAAAACTTTAAGGTGTATCATGTGAAGCTTATACGTAGGTACTCCCTCCGTCTCATTGGACTTTGCCAACTTTCCCTTTTTGGTTTGTCCCAAAAAACTTTGATACTTTTCTATTAAAGCAACTAATTTGTGGTTCTGCACATTTCTCTCTCCTCTGCACAAATTTCAACCACACAGTTTTTACCATTCTTATTTCTCGCTCACTTTGCACTTGGCAAAGTCCACCGGGACGGAGGGAATATATGTTAGTCTACTCGTATTTAAGTAAAAAAAACTTGTATATACTAAACAATACTCTCAATTTAAAGATACAATTCAATCTTGAAAAATTCAAATACATTATAGTTGCAAGTCTTCTTTCAGTTTTGTATCTTAGGAACATGTTGCGTGCTACTACTATATCTGTAATGTGTATTCACAATTTGGATTTTGATCTTTTCGTTCTACTACTTACATATATGAAAATGAAGGGGAGCAAAACTAGAAAGGGTAATGCAAATGGAAGATGTTTCCAAGAGGCAGCATACAAAGCGTTCAACATTCCATAACTCATCACCTGCATCAGAACTTCATAATCAGTATGAATCTACCATAACTGTGTGAATAATAGGGCCGTAAAATTGCTTCATAGTTGTACTAAAATAATAGGGCCAAAAAATTCACAAGTAGGAGTAATGTATATTTTTTTTCTTTTTATACTACGTATATAGGAGTAAGTTACTCATGTTTAGAAGTACGTATGCATGTTCACTTCTCATTATAGAAGAAAAATACTTAGGGAAGGACTCACATAGATGCTACTTTTACCCCATATAACTCAATCATATAGATGCATTTTGGGTAACTCTTACGCCTATATAAGTAATTTTACATATAACAAAATTTTTGGTTTTGCGGTATAAACTTTGTAACATTTTGTCCTAAAGACCACTTACGAAGTAAGGAAGCATAAAAAGACCAAGAATATATAGAGCTCGCTAGCGTGTTCACTAAGGAGAAAGCTGCGTGATCAATGGTCGGGATTCTCTAGAATATTTTAGTTGAATGAATCTTAGTCATTCATCACGCCAGTGTCTCCATGAATATACTCTTAATTAAGAGACCACTTAACTTAATTAAGAGACCACTTACCTCCGTAATCACCTTCTTTGACCCTGTTTGCTTTTGCTTCTCAAAGATTAGTTGTGCATATTCATAAAGCTGCATATCTAGGTTGTTTAGTGCACCAATTTCCTCAATAATTCTCTTCGGAACCTGATGTCGACTCTGTTTTAAATTCCAAAGAGTATTATTAAAGTGTAACATTCGCAATATATAACTACACATTTATTTTCTCCCCCGGTCCAATAAAAGAAATCCTATTTGCAACACTTTTTTCATGATCAATTTTCCATCAGAGTAGTTTATTTTACCTCCTGAGTGAAATTTACCGGAGTGATATATTTCACAGACGATGCACGCCTTTGTCTTTGAGATTCAAGTGACCTTTGAATGCACCCTTCATATAATTTCACAAGCTTTCTCGTTGTCTCCTGTTATTATTAATTATTTCTTGAAAATAAGAAAAGAAAAAATAATGGTATATTGATTGGATTGACACAGATTAATTGTGTTTGAAACAGATCAAAACATATTTTTGACACTGCTCCAAATCAAATAGCTTGTGAGAAAACATATTTGACATGGATAGTCTCGGCCAAAATTAGTGATAATAGAGATCTGTTTTGAATCTGTGATGTAAGAATTGTATATGTGCATGTGCTTAACAACATTATATGCTCATGAACTTTGCATTCATAAGATTTTTGGTATTCATAATTCATCTAAAATTTAGCATGGCATTACTAATTAACTGATATTAAACAAAAATATTTGAGAAAGAAAAAAGTCCTATAATACTACAACTTGGCATTTTTTTAGTTTGGAAAGTATAATTATTTTAGACAGAAGTACATCTCCTTTGAGAAATCAAATAAAAGATCATCCCTACCGTTTTAGAGCTTGAGTTTCTGAATGGATCGATAAGTTCTGCGGAATACAAAATTAACATCATTAGAATATCCATAATGATAATATTTCTTCCTCTTAAATAGTAAATTTGTGTTTAAATACGGAGTAACTATATAAAAGAGAGATACTGATGTTTCAAAAAACGAAAAAAATGTTAGATAATAATGTTTTATAATATTTAATTTCCTCCTTTTTTAACTATCACATATTTTTCTTTGGAAAGTTTTTTAGTCCGTATTATTTATCTACCTTTCCATTTTTAGTAAGTTTTTCTTATAAAAAGAGTTTTATTATTCATACTTTTTAGTTTATATTTATACAAACTCCTATCTATTTCCTACGGAGTATTTTTCATTATTTTCTTCCTCTTCTTCTTCTTCTTCTTCTTCTTCTTCATGTTTTTGGGAAAAAATCTCGAAAGAAGAGTAAAAATATTTAAGAATTCCAAAAAGGACTACTACGTTTTTCTTCAGTAAATAGGAGTACATTACTGTAATCCTGAAAATCTACTGTCATGTTTTGATATTACCAGTCTTTAAACATAATAGTATACTCATACACTGTCAAAAGTGGTAGTATTTTTTATGCTTGACAAAAGTAATTACTCTTATTTAATGAATAAAACATAGCACTCATATTTTGGAATTTTCAAACCTAACGTTTTACTCCTATTTAGGGTAATTTCTTTAATATTTATATTTCTTACTTTTTCATTTATCCTACACCATCTAATGACTCCTACTATTTTCTGCTTAAAACGCACACAAAGTACTCAATCCAGACACTTAAAAAAGAACGGAGAGAATAACATAAACTAATGTTTTATAATTATATATACTAACTTGAATGGTTGATGGTGGAACCATTTACACTAAATCGCGATTGAGCTAATTTAGATATCACTTGATCACCAACCACACTTGCAAATAAAGCAGCTGACTCTTTGTGTTTATCAGTGAGCCCAATATACAACATACCATCCAACCTCCTCTGCATGATTCACAATATAGTTCAAGAATCTAACTTAATATCATTTCATACATTATGCATGTAGAAAAAATAAGTAAGCCATATATATTTACCATAAATATTAAATAAGAGTATATAGCTTTATATATGAACTCTTTCATATTTACCTTGGCAACTTCAAGAACATATTCACCAAGAGTTTGGTATTTCAATACACATTTGCGCACATCATTTGACTCTTTTGAGTAAGAGTTGTTTGTGAGTCCTGCAACCTATTAATAAATTGGTGTTACTTGAATTAGACTCATCTTACCTATACGCTTAATAGTTTGACAGTTTCACCTGACATTTATAATTTATAAATTATTATGTCTTAACATACTCAAATAAAAAGTGCAGACAAAAATGTAGTCATGAAAAATTGAAAGTTTACAATTGGAAAAAATTAGTCTACAAAAGGTATAATAGGGTACCTGAAATGTGGCACCGTTGTGAACTAGATCCAATGCAATAGGATCATTGATGAATTGGTGCAAAGGCATCACAATATCTCCCATATTGTATGGCTCATTGGTTTTTATAAGATCTTCACCCTTCACTTCTCTCATATTTTTCTAAAGAAGAAAAAGTAAGAGAAATTTACTTATGTAGTCCCATAATGTACGTTTTGTGCTTATAATTATTGTTGTAACATTACTAACATATCATGTCGTGTAATTAATTTATTTGTCTACGTTATTGAGAATTTCTTCATAAGAATGTACAACTTCTAGTAAAAATTAATCTCGAAAAGTTGTCATTGACATGGAATTTTCAAGCGAAAACAAAAAAACATTTTTGCGGTAAAGTGTTTAATAAAGTCAAATTTATTAGTTACAAGACGTAAGTGATAAGGATAAAAGTTACAGGACTATTGTATTAATGGGTACAATCATAAGTTAATGGCTAACTAAATATGCAATTTTCTCATAAAGTAATGTGTAACTATCATATTGTTACTTTGAGGAAAGATGACTCATCGTCATCATTACTCCAGTACCGCAAAGGCTATCCACCTACGATGGAGGTAAGGGGTGTCGGATGTATGCAACCTTACCCATGTACTAAAGCACATAGAGTCTGTTTTCGGATGATCCATAGTGAGAAAAAATGATTATGAGAGAATATAACAACTACAGTACTTGAGGTATAAGATAGAATGCTATAGAGGTTATTTCATTTGAATAGTAATTAAGAAAACTTACTCGAGCAAATAGATCTTCTATCATCCATGGAGCCAAGTACTTCCATGGCCATATATCTAGGGTGTTTCCTCCTAGTTTCTCAACACTAACAGGTCGACGATTAGCCACTTCAGTAGCATATGTTAAATTGGGAAACATTAGTGACCTGGCTGCAACCTCCACAGAAAATTCATAAGAACTAAACACACGATCTACTGGATTCCTAATAACAGTCACCACAGAAGTTTTATCATATGGTAGCTTAGACATCAAGCTGTAATCATCATGAGTTACAGTCAAGTTGCATCCTGGATTCCTGCACATGTTGTGAAGGGTATAATAGTCCTCATATATACAACCAACAAGTTTTGCAAGTCAAAAATGCTTTTTGCCAAATCTCTGTTGCTACTAAAACACGCTTAACTATGGAGTTCTTAATTTCAATGGTTATCAAATCTCATCCAGTCATCCTTTAACTTAATTTAGTGATATGTGGGTGGACGTTCACAATTTAACCGTTTCTCTTTGAATTGCTAAAAACTTGTTTAGAATGTGCCTAGTGTAGTCTACAATATTTCATACACTTATTTTGCTTAAAACATAGTAATTCAAAGAAATATCAAAACCAAGTTACCTTGGATCAAACCTTAACTCATCATAGGAAAGTGGGCACTTTGAAGAGGGATCATAGAGCTTCTCCAGAAAACTTTAAACAAACAAATGTAAGAAAAGGGGCCAAAAGAAGCTTAATGTGAGTTGCAATGAGAGGGCATTGGTTTGTAATTCAAGAAGATAGAAAGTACCAATGGAAATAATTTTTTCCCCCTGTCCTGGGAACGTGAAGGAAAAATAACAAATCCTTCAATGTCTTTTGATCTTCAAAGACTTCAAATTCTTGGGAAGACGAAGCCCATTTCTTGACGATGGTTTCACACTGCTTGAAAGATGATTTGGAGTTGGTTTTGTCAATTGTTGCAAAAACTGGTCAATACATTTCAAAATTTCAATTTAGCACATATCCCATAAAACTTCTATCTATCTATTGGCTAAATTCTACTAAGAAGTGCATGCGAACCATGAGCATGTAATTTCCTCTTCTAGGGTAGTGGAACAAAATTTGGAAGGTTTTCTAAATAGGAAGAATTCTTAGTATGTGTGTCACCAGGGGCATAGCATTAGGTGTGGGTTCGGTTTATTTGGTTGGATTTTGACCACAAACCAAATACAAAACCGGAGTAGAAAGTTTGATTCGGTTTCAGTTTGATTTACATTTCAAATCTTGAAACCATAGTATAATTGGTTCAGTTTATTTCGATTCAATTTCAGGTTTTTTGATTCTTTATTAAAAATTGTCATTTGATTTAAAATGATATGATAGTTGGTGGAATAAAACATACTTCCTCTATCCCATTGGACTTTGCCAACTTTCCTTTTTTGGTTGTCCCAAAAAACTTTGTCACTTTCCCATTAAAACAACTAAATTGTGGTTCTGCACATTTCTCTCTCCTCTGCACAAATCTCAACCACACAGTTTTTAATATTCTTAATTTTCACCCACTTTGCACTTGGCAAAATCCACCGGGATGGAGGTAGTATTACATAATAAATGCAAGCATACCAAAATAAAAAATAGGAAAAATAGACAAAAATAATCCCAACTATTGGTGATCGACTTGAAATAATCCAAACTATCAATTATCTCAAAACAATCCCAACTATTAGAAAATATTCTCAAAATGCTCTGCTGGCTCATACATAGTATAAGCAAATTAAGGGTTATTTGAAGTCATTGGAGCATTTTGAGATTTTTTTCAGTAGTTGGGATTATTTTGAGAAACTTGATACATGGGATTATTTCAAGCAGATCACTAATAGTTGAGATTATTCTTGTTCATTTTTCCTAAAAAAATATTTTAAAAAAAATAATAAAAATAAATATGTCTTAAATTATGAGTATGTGAGAGAGATAAGAGTGTAAATATTATCAATTTACTTTGTTCATTACTAGTATGAAAAAGATTCATGAATATATACGTTATATGTGATAAAGTTGGACAGTTAAGATACATAGAGACTTAGACAGTTATAAAATACTCAGAGACCATACACATATTGGAACATACCCGTTCACACTAGACCATAAAATTTTAGTTCAATTAAAAACATCATACAAGTATATATATACAAAAATTACAAAAGGAATTTGTTTAATAATAAGCGACAGAATAAACATACCGTATGTGAAAAGGAATAGCCTAAAGACCACCATCCAACAATTAATCATCTTTCTCATATTTCCACCTGAAGTCCATCAATATTGAAAATATTGCAACAGATTCGCAAAAATTGAAATTGAAAATCTTGTGACAGATTGATCACTAACAGATGTCTTGTAATAAATTTGTAACTGAAGACTATTTCATCTATCCGATTTACTCTAGTTATGACTCACCTCACAAACTAGTTACTGCGCTCAAACGCTTCAAGTCATCACACACGGAGGCAAAGACATATCCTCCTTATCTTCAACGGGTCATTCGTTTTCACAATAAATACAACCGATCCCTCTCAACCTCTTTAGGGATGCCTCAAAAAAACTTTGATTGTTAACTCTTTCATTTGGGTTTTACCTTGTACTTTTTCATTTCAATTATGGTAGTGTAATTTTAGTTTTTTAATAAAATTGGAAAGTGTCCCCCGGCGCTTTTCCCACTTCTAGTGGCTTCTCCGGGACACAAAAAAAAAGCTGTAACTGAAGTTAACATTTAGACATTTAGTATTGATTATATATCAAGCAAAACGTTTTATTTAAGACATGGACGACGTACCGGTCCTGAACTAAAATATATTGGAATGTACAACTGTTCTGTTCTCAGGTGTATGGTAGTTGCCCCTGAAAGTGTGACACAACGTAATTATTTAATTAACACATTCGCAACATTTTTTTTCTTGGGGGTCTGGGGGTTGGGGGAGCCTGAAGTAATTAGGGTTGAAACTCATTTCATTGAGTTTCAAACCCTAATGTGCCTAGCGGATTTCGAACTCGAGACCTCTACTGGCCACGTTAACCTCACAATCAGCTGGGCTGGAACGCTTGGTTTCACAATATCTTATACTTCAAATATTTTTCAAAGTAAAGAAATTGTGGTTGAGAACTTGAGACTTGGCTTTTTAAAAAGAGATATAGGAGTAGATATTAAGAAGTATAAAAGGAGATTTATAGGCCGTTTGGCAACATGTTTTTCGTCTTATCAGGCTTATCAGCCAACTTTTTCAGCAAACACGTAATTTTTGCTTTCGCGCGCTGAATTGTGTAATAAGCAGAAAAAGTAAGGTTGGAGTTACTTTTCTGGCTGTATTGGCTGAAGTTACTGTAGATGACCATTTTAGCTATTTTTACATATAACTTTTTCTTTATTTTATTAATAAAATATATTTTAAATATAATTTTTTCTTGAACCAACATAATCAGCCACTTCAGCCAAAAATTCATAAATTTCAGCAGAATCAACGAAAACAGCTGATTTTCGTGCTACCAAACGGGCTCTTACTACAGAGTAGCAAGTATCCGCTATTATTCTTATAGCTTCACTCACTTGAAAACTGCACATTTCAGAAAAATATAGACCATAAAAGTCATTCCCGGTGTACGTAGACTTCTCTAGCAGAAGTACTCCGTAGTATATTGTGGTGAGAAACTTAATTACTTCATCCCTCCCATAAAATTTTTCTCACTTTCCATTTTGAGTCGTTCCAAAAAATTCTTCTCATTTACCATTTTTGAACAATTTGTTTGATTCACATTTATTTCACATTTTTCTTACACAACCACAACCATACATTTTCACTTTATTCCACTTTCTTAATCCCTGTGTCAAGTCAAAGTGGGAAGAATTTTCTGGGACAGAGAGAGTATATTTCAGTGAGAAAGTTATTTTTATAATACATTTAATTGTTATAGGACAACAATTATAGTTATAAGACAACAATTGCAAGTGTGTGAAGTTTAATAAGAATAAAAATGAGCATGTATGTGCATGAGTTTGGGACTGAAATTGTAAATTTCTATAGTACGTAGTACTCCGTATAAAATATGTATAACTCCATCCAATTAGACTTTGTTAATTTTTCTTTCTATTTATCTCAAACGTTTTATCATTTTCTTTTTAAGCAATAAATTTATTTCTCTCTTCTATATGCAAACTTCAATCATACTACTTTTAGTTTTCTTATTTCACTCAATAAAAATTTGACAAAAGTCTGATGTCCTCATGGGACAAAGGTAATTCCTTAAAAAGGATAGGAGTTAAATTTGGAGATGATAAATTTATGACTGTGGTTATAAATATCTTCCTTCGTCTAAAAAAGATTCGCCAAATTGACTTTTTATAATTAAAATGACAATCAACTTTAATTTGACCAGCGATATTTTTAATACAAAAATATTTAGAATATGAAAATTATATCAAAATGTTCCTTATTCAAAGTATTTCCATAAAAGTACAAAATTTATAAATTATATACAAATATAATACTCTGTAATTAAAATCGTTTGTCCAAAGTTTGTTATCATTGATCAAGAAATTAAAGTCAATATGACAAACATTTTATGACGGAGGTTATGTTTTTGTACTCCGTAATTTATACAAGAAAAATATTTCACCGATGTATTAGATCGAATAAATTTTTCAAAAGTGTTTTCATGTTTTAGAGTAATTTACATTAAAAAAATTAATTTAAATTTTGAATAACTTCAAGGTCAATAAAGTTTGACGCTTTTAATATAAAAAAAAGTTTGACGCCAAAAGTAATGGGAAGTTAATAAAAGATACGTAGCTTACTTGCATGCAGCAATGTCACATATGTGTCTGTTTAGCCACCCTGCCGGCCGGCCGATAGTCGTCGCCGGAGGCTCGATTTTTTCAGCTCGTCTATTAATGAACAGATCCTGTCTTGGAAGGAAAATATAAATAAGCATGGAGTTACACATTATTATATTAATTGACAAGCTAAGCATTCATTAATCCAAACAAGATTTAATTGAGGCGTTATATATATCTTCAATATATTAATTTAACTGCTAATATAATTTACAAAATCAACTCTTCTTAATTAACACAGTTTCACTTTTTTTGGATCGCAATTTCTCTTTATTTACTTATTTAACTTACCCATTTTTATTATATTTTAATTTTGAATTTGTGACTTTATAAGGCTTTCAACTTAGTGTTCAAATATATAATTTTAAATTATTAGAATTGATTTAATTATCTGCAAGAATCATTTAACTTTACCGTCTCTTAAATATTACAAGTATATACACTACGTTTAGGCTTTAGTTGACTGATAATCAAACCAATAACAGCCGGTTTAATTGGTGTATCAGTTTTTCGATATTTCAGTTGGATTGACCAAATGTTAAAAACAAGTTTAACATAGTTTAGCTTGTTTTCTTAATACGTTTCATAATATTAACCATCAGAACAAAAATCTTAGGAAATTTATAAGATTTAGAATTTTTCAAATCAAATGTGTCTAAATCATTAGTTCCAACAAAAGCACGAACCACCAATCGTAAAAAATTATAGCTAACAAATTAAAAATTATAGTGAATTCCATTTTTGGTACTATGAGTTTTACGTTAATTTCACATTTGATCTCTGTCTTTCACTTTATTCACGTTTGGTACTTGATTAATGTTTCTTGACAATTTGTGATCCTTCCGTCCAACTTTCTGATGCCTCTCCGGTGACTCTAATCATCGAAAATATTGACAGAGGGAATATATATGTGGGTGCGCGGAAAGCAATAGTCACGTACAAAAAATGGTCATAGTCAAAGACATGAGCCAATTATGAAATAGGTGCAAATGTGCAATACTCATAGGATCAAAAGTTGAATTTATTGAATAAAGAAGTGTCCAATAATTACACATGCAACTAGCTAGATCGATCGAGTAAGTGGTAAATGTAAATCACACTAGATCATAACCATAGATAGTTCAGTCAAGTATAGAACAAACATAAGTATTTAGTGAGCATTTGTCTGTAATTACTAGCATGGTTAGATTTTCTTGTAAAATTTAAAAAAAGATGAGTCTCACATAAA